AGATGGCCCTATCATTCGCTAAGAATAGGTCTTCTTCTGTTTAGCTCTCTCTCATCTCTGTGCATGATAGTAGATGGTGACTATTCTGAACCGCGCCACAGTCGCAGTCGCAAATGGTATCCCCATTTCTTCAGGTTTAGCGCTGTTTAGCGCTTTCCATGTAATATACGGCAAATTGTGTCCAGCAACCATTTCCTTTGAGGGAGCAAAATGTGTTGTAGCTGATGCTTGCCGTAGGTGTATTCGGCGCGTCTTTATCTCTTCGGGGAGGAATCGTGATTTTTTCAGAAAGCTTTTCCGAGATCTTAATATACTTGGCTGATCTTGGCGGTCATACAAGGGTTGTCTTCGATCCGTCTGCTGCTTCTTTCATTCCATCTCTGGCGTGACTTCTCATAGCAGGTGGAGCGATTCCAACTATACCTCTTCGATAGGTGTCGGCTTCAGGCAGCCAGATATTATATGAACCGTTTCATTTAACGCAACATCGACGTTTTAAGCGTGAGCAGAGTTTTTCCACACTGGTGCTCCAAACTTGGCGGCAGAAAAACATAATGCTAAGGCAGAAGTACGGAGAGTGTGTGGTTGTGCTCCCCATTTTGTGTTTGTTAGTTTACGGATGATAATTATTTCTGGCGCTTACTTTTTTCTTGATATCTTGACAGTGATATCGATAATACAGAGTTCTATCCAGACGTACGCCCAGGTATTTTGGCATCTCATTGTGTTCCAGCATCTGACCACGCTAGTCCACCTCCAGTGTCATTCGGGCATGCTTGGTTCTAAGGTTGAAAGCACACACCTGGGTTTTTGTAGGATTGGGTTTCAGATGGTTTTCGTCATAGTATAGTGCTATGACTTCATTGAAGGTACTGTCCTGAGCTGCCACAGCTGTATCATCCGCATAAATAAACTGTCTTGTTTGTTGGTTTTTGGGTTGGTCATTGGTGTAAATATTGTATAGCAATGGCGAGGGGACACTGTGGAAACCCCTGTGGGAGTCCATTTTTAAATTCCTCCACCGATTGTTCTTGGACTGGAGCGTTACGTAGAAGCGTCTATTCTGGAGAAAACATTCCATTAACCTTGTTAGTCGGAAATCCTTTGTAATTTCGTAGAGTATTACCAGCAGCCGTTGATGGTTAACTGTGTCATAGGCGACAGTCAGGTCTATGAACGCTATTCCTGTTATTTCTTTCCGTTCAAACCCATCTTCAATATGTTGGGTGAGATTAAGAGTTTGATTGCAGCAGCATTTTCCGGGTCTAAATCCTGCTTGTTCAGGAATAATTTTAGTGTCCACAGATTTAGAGATCCGGTTTAGTATCATTCTTTCGAACGCCTTGAAAAGGTGACACACAAGAGAGACAGGTCTAAAACTCTTTGTATCCGCCAGGTCCTTTCCTGGTTTTAAGAGAGACAGATTTCCTCCAGACAAAAGCAGGTACATCTAGAACATCCTCTTCTTCGTCGATATTTCATGGTACTCTCACTTTGTTCTTCCTTGATGTCGTCTTACCATTTGTCAGGAGACGATGGTCTATCTGATCGGGTGAAACTTTTGTCAGATTGGGTGCCGGGGCGGATGGATTGTTGCCAAGATTCCGAATTAATTTCCAAGCGTGTGTCTGCTGTTTTGTTTCATGTTTGGACTCATTACCAGCTTGCTTGATTCTTCATTTAGCCCCGCTATACATGGGGTGACGAGAACCCTTACTTAATACGTAGGACAAATTTTTAATGAAAATTTAGCATAAATTTATGGGCTGGAACAATTAATAATCGTTTGATAGGACCATATGAATTACCCAGAACACTAAATGGAGAGACCTACTATAACATCTTTCAAAATGTTTTGCCGGTATTTCTTGAATACGTGCCTTTTGTAACACGCCGTGAAATGCGGTTAAACTATGTAGGTAATTCAGTTAAAGCACAACATTCAACACCTTTAAAGCTTAATAAATACATAATACTAGTTCAGTTAAAAAATAAAGTGTTTGTTGTAAATAATTGACATTTTAACAATTCATTTAAACTTATGGCATATTTCAATACATTTCAGAAAAACGTTACCAATTTTTTTTCTTAGTTGACTGAATTACTTTTTAGAAATTAAACCATAGTACTTACTTAAGTAAAAATAATAATCTACTTAAAACTTAGAGCTTTAATCCAAAATCTTAATTAATTCAGATAATAACAAATATCACCAAATGCATTAGATACATTTCCTAAGATATCAACAACCTTGTATAATATATGAACAAGGGTTTGATTATGTTAAATACCCTAATTCACAAATGAGTTTTTAATCAGAAGCGCTTTCACTGCATACTACGTTGCCAGATTATTTAATTTTCTGAAAATAAATATTAACGTATATGGAAAACAATGAATTTTTTTTTGGCACGGTAAACCTTGGAAAAAAATGTTTCACTTTTTTGCTTCAAATTGTGTATTATATCCATAACTAAAAAGATCGCACTCTTTTTGGGGACATCCAATTATCAAGGTATTAAAGATTTTTATCCTTGTGACTAGTTCAATAATGTCAATGACTACAACAGTGAATCTCGTTGCGATAGTGATTTTACGGTACATTTTATAAATTATAATGTCTGTTAAGCCAGTTCCAGATGCAAACCTGTAAACATCTGTAAAAACCGTTTTTTAATTTGTGTTTTCCAGATCCCAGTATTTACTTCGTCGGAACCAACGAGGGCACTATTCATAGATGTTCGTTGAACTACCTTAGTCAACATTTGGACCTCTTTCTTGCTCACGAAGGTTCGGTCCATGAGCTAAAATTTTCTCCGTTCTGCAAACGCATGTACGCAACTTGCGGAGATGATTGGCACACCAGAATATGGGGAGAAGGTAGTTTTATTTCAGAATATTAAAAGGCTAATTTATTTCCATATCTTATTTGTTTTGTAATTTATTTGTTTTGTATCTTACATACTAATTTCCTTTGACAACCAAATTAAGTGTGAAAAACTAATTTAGAAATTTTTGTAGGTATAGCAGAGCCTATTCTTTCGTTTGCTGCAATGCAAACTGTTCAAGGACTAGACTGGAGTCCGACGCATTCGACTATCTTGGTGACCATTCGTGCTCAGTTTATCGAAGTTTGGGATCTCCAAAGAAAGGTGTACGAGCCCCAATCTATAACGAGTCTACCGTGTAACGAGAGATGTACTGTTGTTCAATTTACTGAATCTGGAAGATGTTTGGTTGTAGGTAAGTCTGAAAAAAATGTCTTCACTTATTTCATAATATATCCATATAATAGCTCTATCTCAGTAGAGCAATCATCTCCAGAATACTTATTCACTATAAAAACATACAAGTACTTAAAAACTTTTTAAAGTGTCGTCAACATTTAAAATTCTGGCAGAATGTTTTCAATCTATATAGATCATCTTCAGTGCCTTTTGTATTTGGTGCTAACAATAAGGTGTCTATAAGACTTCCATGTGTGGATTTACAAAATATCACATTTTACATTTAATAATGTTGAGACAATAGGTCGATGACAATGGAATTGTTTTTAAAATAAAAATTTACTTTAGGGACTACATGTCTCTTAAGCTCGAATACTTGCACGTGGTACTTGTCAGTTGAAACGACGACACAGACCAAATGAATAAATAAGTGCAATACGTGCGTACCTGTTTAGAGTCCTACACAAATTTTATGTAAAGGTTTTATACTTCGTATGAAAAGTTTACCTATTTAGTTTTTCAGATATTTGTACATATCATTTTACCCAAGTCGTCGATCGATTTTTCAGTCATTTTGCACATCAAATGCCTCTGGTTGAATCTTATTAATAAATATAATAAAAATGAGGCACTGTTATGAAGGTAAACTTTTCTTTTTCTGGTCCCAAGTGCATACTAATTTCATTCGATATCTTCATTATTATAATTAACATTGATTTTATTGTTGTAGGTGATGTTAATGGACACGTACATGTTTTTTCTTTTGAAGATATGCCGTTTGAACCATTTTTTCAAGAAAATTTATTGTTCGATTCTCTATCGAGGGCTCTGATCACAGAACCTCAATTATTATCAAATATTAAAAAACTACGCAGAATGGCTCGAGATGAAGAATAGAGTAAATGCGTGGTAATCGCAAACAGAAAATTCTAACAAATATAGATAGACCATGGAAACTACATATTCCATATAAAATTCATCAACGACATTTATGTACTTATATCACAGTTTAGACAACATACTGTGCTTATATTATGTAAAAATACTTTATTGATTATTTTTAGGTTATTTATTGCATTTTTTAAATACAATATTAAAGAATATACGAATTATATTTATTTCCTACAAATTATAGAATGGGGCAATCGCAAAAGCCTTACATTCCATTAGATAAACCCAAAAATATAGTAGTTTACTTAGATATTGTTAAACCTACTTTATTTTTAGGTACAATAGGTAAATATAGTCTTGTTTATGAGTTTTATCTCTATCGTTCATTGGTATTCTAGACGATGAAATGAAAGACCTATTAAAAGGCAAACTTGAACCACCCTTGAACTAACAAAAAAAGATATTCTGATGCTTCCATCACTGATATTTCTGTGAAACGACACTTTACAAGCGAAAATAAAATTTAAGTTTTGCTAAGTATCCAATGATTTTAAGTATCCAATCTCTTATAGATACCTAAAATACGTTAAAAAACAAAAAAATAAATTTTGAGGAAATAGGCTATTTCATATTAATAAAAGAAAATTATTTAATCAACTAATGTTTCAAATACAAACATAATAAATAGGTAATCATTCGCTTTCGATAATGAAATTATTTTCAGATTCCGTTTGAATAATAAAATTATATTAGGCAAATAAACACCGATTTCGATGTTAGTTAATCTGGTGTTAATGCTTGGCTTGTAGTTATTTGGATATGGCCATTGTATATGGTAACCAGAGAAAAAGAAGATATTTTCTAACCTAAAAAATTGGAATTTTATGTTTACAAATACAGATCAGAAATAGGAATATCGTTTCATTGATTAAATAAACTCAATATTTTGGCTAAAATGAGCCAAAGTACTAGTGCAGCCACTGTGGTGCGAACTGCACCGCAGCAGGATTTGATGAACGAACTTAATTTCTTTTTAAAAGGAGCTTCTAAGAAGGAGCCTTCCAGTCAAGTGGATCTTACAAAGTCAGCTTTGACTCTTCTAAAGTGTCTTCCACCTACCAAGGTGGCAGTTTTCGAATATTTTCGGGGAGTTTTTGAGAACGCCGCTAAGGGCTATGTTCAAGGACTTGAGGTGAGTAAAATATTTTTCAATTACTCTTTCCCCTAATACCAAAATTTTTAGACTGAAATAAATACAGGAAAGTTGCCACCACCTTCAGAAATTGATGAATTGATGGTCTCAGAAATACATACAGTTCTTTCAACCCTAATTGCTGACAATCCTGTTGCTTGGACTCCAACTATAAGTACCTGGTCACTGGAGTTACTTGGAGAAATTTCTACTAAATATTGTGGAAGAGCTCATTTCTCATCAAGTAAATATCTTTAATTTATTAGAATAAGTTTGCAATTGTTTCTATATCTTAATGTAAGCAATTTTAATACTCTGGAATTAATCATTTTGTGCTGTTTCAGATTTGAATGAAACTTTGCAGCTGTGGATGGGTTGCAGAGCTACAAGAACTTTAATGGATATAAATACAAAGTGTCTATCCAGCTTAATTCACTCCAATACCGAAGCATGTATTAGTGCCCTTCTAGGTAGTTACTATGAAAAAAAAAACATTAATCTTATTAGCTTAAGATATTAATAAATACAAAAATTTTTTAAAGTATATAAATGTTAAGACCTTCAGAATAGGCAATCTGGTTGGGGGATTAAAAATAAAAGAAAAAGCAGTAATAAATAAAAAAAATGAATTAGATTATGACAAAATTTCCATTAAATGATCATTATAAGTTTGCATTTTCACCTTTAGAAGTTTAGTTTTATCTTTTTTATCATTTTTTAGTTTAGTTTTATCATTTTTAGTTTAGTTCGGTATTTTTTGGTCCTTTGGTATACACAGTACTACAAAATAATCCATGCCTATTACTTCTGGTATAGGTACTTTTTTAGTCAAACTGATTTGACCTGAGCATTTGGACATTTATAAAGTGTCCATCAATGTAGTAATGAAGTATATTAAAAGTAATTTGATTTGTAAATAATACATTAATACATTTATCAGTTGTAATAGACAAGAAAAATCAGTATAATGTTTACCAGTTGTAATCGACAAGAAAAATCAGTAGTTACCAATACATGTATCAGTTGTTTTTAATTTTTAGACACATCTGTAAAACATTCTCCAAATTTTGACTGGGTTGTTGCCCATGTTGGCAGCTGCTTTCCAAATACAGTGATCACTAGGGTATTATCTGTAGGGCTAAAAGATTTTTGCCAAAATAAATCCTATGAACAAGGCTCTAACTCTCCTAAATTAAAATCAGTGGTTGGAATTTTGGGACATTTAGCTGGGAGTCATGCTGAGGATATCAGGAAAGCTCTGTTGGATATATTCACAGTAAGTTTTGGAATCTGCTATTAATAAAAATATCAAGATAAGTATACTTAAAAATGTTTTTTATTTGATTAAAAATATTTAATTATTTTTGTCTCTAATACAAACCAATAAATGTAACCATTGCTATTATTTTCTCTTCACCTAGTTCTTTTGCTGTTTATTGTTTTTAACCCCTTCCACCAACTCCATACTCTTCTGTGTAAAATTTTTCAAGATTTCAAGGCTCTATATCCTGATTTTGCTAATCTGTTATGATTTCCACCCCCTGAAATAGTCTTTGTCCATAAATAATCTTCATCTTATAATTGAAAGAAATAATGATTGTATTCAACTGCAAAAAGATATTAATACCTTATCAGCTTGGTGTACAAACTACAAGTTTCCACTCAAATGTCTCAAGATGCAAGATTGGGAAGGTTTCCAATATTCACAATGAAGTTAATTTTGATTATAAGTTAGGCAACATCATTATCAAAGGGGTTGATTCTATCAGAGACCTAGGGGTGACTATTTACAGTAAACTCACTTTCAATAAATGTATTGATAACATTGTGAAATCTACACTGAGAACACTTGGCTCCATCATCAGGTCAACAAGAGATTTTAAAAATCTGGATAGCCTTACCTCTTTGTAAAATAGTATATAATCTAAACTGCTCTATCCAGCTTGGTGTGGTTCCCTTGCTATGAGGTCCATGTAAATAGGCTACAGTATGAGACTCAGTACAATACATGATTTTGTGAAGATTTGGATTCCTATCTCTTATCTCAATGCTTAACCAGATGTCAGGTCTAGTAAACCACTGTCAACCAGAGATAGATCTAGCTTATAAGCAGGTTCTATATCCGCTAAAAACTGGTTTGGTAACAACAGCTCTTATATATCAACTTAAAATGTTCTCCAGGATATTTTGACTTGAACACAACTGTACTCATAGCTAACATTAGAAGCCTTTCCCAATTTTTTAAACTAAAATGTTCTCAGTTTTTCTTGTAGCTTCTACCAGGAATCGGTCTTTACAAAAGTTCGGGATATTATTTGTTCGAAAATATAGTGGAAGTGTACAGGTTTCATTCTCTTTTCGCAACTCTCTAATTCATATGGTGCTAATTCAAATGATCAGTATTTTCAGATACATTCAGGAAGTATTTGTTATTAATTATTATACTTGTAGGCTAGTATCAGTGAAAACGTACAAGATACTGATATAAACAGGCTACAGAAGAAAGCAACAGTGCCTTATATTTTACAGCTTATTCATTTATCGTCGACATTATTGTCATCAATATGCCAAGACATTAAAGAATTCCGTAAGTACTCAAAATTTACTTTTTGTATGTTCAAAATAACAATTAGATATTTTTAGTTACCACTGACACTATTACTAGACTATATCATTTTGTGGAAGATTGGTGTAGATATTTTGGGACCCCGGAAGCTTTGCAGGTGAGTTGTGCAGTTGGGTGGTCATATAACACATATTTTACTTGCCTGTCCAACTTTATTCATAATTTTGTTTATTTATTAAATATGAATAAATCAATTATTTTAGGAAATACTAATTGGTTTGATTCTTCGTTGCGAAACTGGAGGAGATCAAATTATAAGACTAATGCTTGACTGTATTTTAATTACCAAAAGTGAAGAAGAAATAAAAAATAACATAGTAGAAACATCAAAAGAGCTTTTGAGTAAGTAAATTACCTTAATATATACGTAATATGAGTACTATGACTATGAAATATGAGACAATTCAGATAAATGGATCTTAGCTAATGTGAATGGAAATGTAAATATTAAATTGCACCTTATTATAATTAAAAATGTTCAGTTTATAAGAACACTATTCACATTTATCAAGCAATTTATCTAGTGCATAAATTATTTTGTGATTGTTACAAATTATAGTCAACTCCTGTTCATCCATGTGGTTAATTGGCACAGTTGCCACAGTTAACGAAAATTGCGGATAATTCTAACTGATTAAAGTCAGTTAAAAAAAAAACAGAAAAATGTAGTTTCGTCTAAAGCTTTAATTTACATAATTGATGGATTCAACCGTAACTTGATGGAAATTCATTTTATGTAACAATAAAACACTGAAAACTTTGTTTTCAAACTTCCACAAAATTTATTTTAACCTCTTGTCACTACAGCTGTTTTGGCTGATTGCCTTTCTCAAGTGATCTATTTTGGCAGACGTTTACACTTTATAGTCTCTAATGAAATAGGTTGAGGGGGGGAGAACTTTTTGTCTCAAGTTGGTCATTCAGAATTATATCTGTGTTTTTTAATTTGTTGATTTCCATAGATTCTAACAAGGATAGCTTACGGCCTTTATTTTGAATGTGAATAATTTTAAATTCGTCATTAAAATGGATTTACTATTGATTTTGAATTTTCTAATGCTAGCTTAATTTGTTATTGTTAATTTGATATTTTTCTATGGATCTTTGTGTAACGTTTCAATATTTTGATTATTTAAGAATTCTATTGTTTTGTTATTATATTCTAGTTTATCTATAGCAATAGTAGTGTTACCTTTGTCTGCTTTTGTAAACACTATGTTGTTTTCTATTATTTATTTTTAATTGAAATGGCTGTTTTATTCTCTTTGTAACAGGAATTTTTGGTTTCACTACACACATCTGTAATAGATTTGGTAATTATACTTTTTTCGATATTGTTAGCAGTTTTGTTTAACGATACTTCACATTCTACACCTAAATATTCTAAAGTTCTTTCATTATTATGTTGGGGTAAATTGTGTTTAAACCCTTTCTCTAAAAGTTGTATCTCGCTATTACTAAATTTAGTATATGTTAAATTTATAAATCTATTGAAAAAAGTATGGTTCGAAAAACTTTTTGTATAATGAATATTGGCTTTTTTACTATTGCAAATTAGATTATTTAGTTTTTTACACTGTGTATTGAATTTTTTATCTATTATATTATCTATATTAATTCTCACGTTAGAATCTAGGATGTCAAATTCTATATTATTTAATCTATAATTTAATTCTGAATGACATACCTTAAGATAAACAGCTATAATATCTCGCTTCTTGTATTGGTATTTTTTGTCTTGTTTCAGCCATCTGGTCTGACCGTGATGTATCTCTTTTTGTGCGGCGGGGCTTTGGTTTTTGGTCTTCAACTGAATATATTTTTCGGGAACACTAGTGATAAGAGGTTAAAATAATTTTTGTGGAAGTTTGAAAACAAAGTTTTCAGTGTTTTATTGTTACTTTAATTTACAATTTTCAGTGTACACTTACCTACATGTTTTATACTTTTTGAAAGTAATCTGTCACCTGTTTCTTTGGCCTCTTAATTTTACATTGCATTTTAGGGAGCATCAATCTTACAGCGAGTAAGATGTGGTCCTGGTTCTCTAGGTGTTCTAGAAGTTCATTCATTCTAGAGGTTCCCAGGTGCAAACTCCTCTTCTTCGTCACTTTTCTCTTTGTTTTGTTCTTTGAATTTTCTTAGGATGTCTTTATCCGTTAAATGCTCAAATCCCGGGTCGGTGACATTCTAGTCTAATCATTACTGCAAAGGCTAGAGCGGGATAAGATGGTAACTTCTAAACAATTATGTTTCGTGTACTTATTTTTTTCTGTCCTTTCAAATGGCGGGGTTAGATTTGACATTTTTTCTCCGAATATCCTTCTACAAATTAGTCATATGAATACTTTTTTATATTTCCACATGTTTCAGCAACTGTATTACAAGATATGGAGGAATCTGTCCGACATAATAACGCAGTGGACCTTATTAATTCATTTTCAAAAGAAATACCGCAGTTGGTACAAATGCTTTTGAATTCTGAAAAAGTTGTTTATGACACTGCCGCAAAAATTGTTTTATTATTAGGTAAGTGGTAGTAACTTCATTTGAAATTTCAATCACAAGTACTAAAGAAGCTGTACTTTTCTCTTTTTTGTGTTATTCTAAATTTATTGTTAATAATTTAAATTGAAAATATGTGACATGTGACGTTTTAACAACCACCTTGAATTTTTACATTTTCTGACATGGATGTCGAAATGTCAAATATGACGTATTTTCAATTAAAATTATAGTTTATTCCAATTAAATAGAGCAGATAATTGTAAAAATTCCACAAGAAAATAGTTTCAGAATCAAATTAAGCACAATAAATTAAGAGTAACGCGAAAGCTTAGATTAATGTCAAACCGTCATTATATTTTAAATGATATGTACTTTTGATATTTCAGGTCACACTAACCCGTCTATATTGGTAACAGTGCTACAATCTTTGTTAAAATCATCTACTACTGATAACCAATTAGTCATATTGTTGAAGTTTTTGACAAGTGACCTTATCGATAAAACGGTGTTGCCGTATTCTGAAAAGGGGGGACATTTTTCCTTAGTACTGGAAGAGATTTTGAATAGGAACGTTCAAAAGTTTTGCACCTCCAACGAGGAGAACTTGGATCTGTCGCTGATGTGGAACAATTTGTTAAAATTATTAAGGTAAGAGATTGTATTGAATTTTTCATTGAACCTCTTGTTTGCATACTCTATTTATAAGCTATATTTAAACATGAAAGAGTTATAATCATGTTCTCAGTTGATCTGCGAGTTTTTATTTCCCTATACCTTATTCACACCTTTTCTATTGTTCTATAAGGCGTTTACTATTGGCCATTGGGACGCGCCATGTCGAGAATGAGAACTTATATATCCTGTCTGTCCTGTGCGGTGTCCTACTCAGTTTAGAGCTTTCTCTGTGCAAAGAAAGTTCTTAATAACATATTCCCAGTCGACATTGTTCTTTTCAAAGCTTCTAACAAATCTAACAGGTTCTTGGGTACATGAACGGATGGATCATTTATAGAAATGAAAAGCTTTTTACGAACTTTAATGTTTTTGTGTAACTAATTTTAAGAGCTTAAATATGCTATCTTTTCTCTACTTTATTGTACGGGTTGACAACCTGGACACTGAAGGAGAGCCATATGAAAAAGCTGGAAGTTTTTGAAATGTGGTGATACAAAAAATATTAAAGATTCAATTAATTCCAAAAGGTAACACATTCCACAGTAACAGAATTGAGAAGTACTCATTATGCAGCAAAAGATTAATGGTAAAAGAACTATAGAAAGAAGAATTTGCTTGCTGAGGACCCTCAGCCAATGGTCGTACCTCATTAGATCATTTTAAAGCGCAGGTTGATAAAATAAGAATAACTGCAATGATAGTTAACCACTGTTGAGAAGGAACTGTGAAAATAAAAAGTGGAATTTCGAGAACTCCATGTTGTTCATTTAGAAATTCCTTGTGCAGACTGTCCCAGATCTTATATAGGCCAAACAAATAGTAGAATCCAAAATAGGATTTATGAATATTCTATTTCTGATCGCAATTCAGAATCAATTTTATCTCTAAGCCAACACCATCTTCATAGAGGTCACAAAATTGATTTTGAAAACTCCAGAACTGAAAAAACTACGGAAAATCCAAATACGGAGTATTTTCAAAGAAAAAGAACATTATTCACTTGTCCGTGTCGTCACTCGACACTGAGGAGTAAGGAGATTGAGACTTCAGTGCCGTTTGACGGTTCTCGTATTTCTGGAGAACAAGAGTATGTCACGAGTGGAGGGAGTAGGCAGATTGAGACCTCGAAATCAAACGGAACCATATTCCTCTTGATAATGGCTCCAAAATGGCTACCGAAACACAAAATAAAACTAAGTTACATTGAAATAATAATAAATATAAAATAAAAATAAGCCCAACATGACTTTATCATGACCTTAATTTGCCTTATTATTTCCTTAAAAATTTGTTTTTTCCGGAAATGCGTAAATAAGCTAGCACAACTCCAAATGACAAAAAGGAAAAATCAGTAAAGTAACACAATAAAATGCATCTGGGTCAACACTAATACCTTGTAGACCCTCCTCTACTTCTTGTGACTGCATTTATGCGTCAAGACATGCTTGATATCAAATGTTCAACAAAAGCTTGCAAAATATTCTCCCATTCTTCAATAACGGCCTCAATGAGTTGGTTGTGATTGGCAATAGGAAGTCTACGACTTCGAATCTTTTTTTCTTGAGATAGTCCCATAGATGCTCTATAGGATTCATGTCCGGACTGTTAGATGGCCACTCTAATAATGGAATATTAACATCATTTAGGTAGCCTATAACCTGTCGAGCCACATGAGGACTAGCGTTGTCTTCCATGAATAAAAAATTAGGTCTAAGAAACGGAGCAAAAGGTATTACATGTTCGACAATTATGTCTAAGTAATAAAATGGGCATTCATAGACCTCGTACTATGCGAACAAATTCGCCCCCAAAACATTTTAGACCCACCACCAAAAGGTACTTTAGGAGAGATATTACAGCTGGCAAACCTTTCTCCTCGCCTTCGACAGACACTCTCACGACCATCTAAAACTTTTAGGTTTACTCTAGTCTCATCGGAGAAAAGAACTCGTTTCCAATCATCGATGGTCCAATTTTGATGCAATCTTGCAAAATTAAATCTCTGAACCATGTGTTCTCTGGTAAGCAAGGATTTTTTGGCCGGTTTCCTGTTGCTTTGCTAGTTGAATCCAGTTGCATCTGCTAGTTCATTTTTTAGCAAATTGCTGGTGACTCTTCTATCTCTGGGAGCACGTTGTCTCAAAAAACGATCATCAGTTTGATTAGTGCAACGTTTTGGCCCTTGCCCTGGTCTTCGATGGTACGACCCTGTTTCATTATATCGCCTCACCTTGCGACTGATGCTGGAATTATGTCTTCCTAACAAAACTGCAACGTATCGCATTGAATATCCTTCACAAGTTCATACGAATGAACTTGTGACATGCATGTGATAAAAATATCACAATAAAAATCTTGTCTCTCACAAGCACTTTGCTTTAATCGTTACTTTTAATGAAAAGTTTAACTCACTTTTAGTCTAAAACGAAGTTTAATACGAATTATACATATATAATACAAATTATTGTTAAAACAAGACTATTATTAGCTTACATAACAACTGTCACTGTCAAACAAAGTCCATAGGCAACTTGTACAGTAAATTATCAATAAATAAAGAGTACTGAAAAAAATATGAGTGGTGCGTTAATTTTATCCAGGAGTTTATATATAGTATGTATATATATATATATATATATATATATATATATATATATATATATATATATATTATTTATAACATAATGATCCTATTCTAGATGGGAACAAAGCGGCAAGGTACCTCTTCTCAATTCCAAGGTCATAACGAGGTCTCTTCAAGCCAATTTACCCAGTTTAACGGCTTTACTGAGGCACGAAGTTTTGCATGTGCACGTTATAGCAGATATATTAGACACCATGGAAATACCGGTACAGAACGGTCCTTACAATCCTCCAATAGAAGTTGTCCTAAATTTAACACAGTCCACGGTCAACTACTTTTTTCAATGCTGCAAAGACGACGGTAAGTACGAATTGTTAGTGCCCTTCTTATGGACACATAAATATGTTCTTTATACGTTTTTATTTTAAAGGTACGGCTTTGAAGTTAAAGGGATATAAAAAGGCGAATACCATGCTGAAACGACTATGTACCTATTCGAAGGTGGCTAAAGTATTAGCTCTCAGGGAGCTATTAGAACGAGCTCTATTTCGCGCTGATAACGTATTATTTGGTGCTAAAAATAACGAAATGGGCAACGAAAATGAGAAATATCTTTTAAAACAAAATAAAAAGATCGTAAGTACATATATTTTAGATATTATACTTCACGAGTTAAATTTGTGGTGTAACTTTATGATTAATTTTAACCGAAGAATTAAAACTATCCGTAAAATTATTTTGAAAGAGGAATAGCGTGTGAATAATATTATTTTGATTATTTATGTTATTTTTAGAACAAGACCATTCCCCTTACAAAACACTCCACTGTCTTCAATGGCGGAATAATCGGAACGGGAAAGCGAAAGTCAATTTGTTACGATCGTTTTCCCGCACACGTGATTTCCGACAACATTGCGCAACTGATCAACGCAATAAAAGCTTGTTGCGCTCTGCCCGAAGAACATAAATACACTGATATGTCGTGGGACAGTATGACTCTGCTGTCTCTTTTGCTAGTTCAATTTGTGAGTCCAGATGTGATGTACAATGGACTGCCGTGGCCGGAGGAGGAATTTTCAAAGGTAAGAATTACATGTATCTATTTTCATATTTTAAATGTTTTAATCACACAATAGATCGTACACTATCACGATATCTAAGTGGTTCTTTTATTAATTCAAACTTGTATGAATCGAAATAAATAATGTAAAGCCGTATATAGATAGAAAAATAATGTATTGGGGCGGTCTCTATTGATTTCTCAACATAGTCTCCTTTAACTCGATAGACTCGTAGTTTGCAAGGTAGGCCTCCGTGGCAGAGATCACCACCTCATTCGATTCAAATTTCTGACAGGCGAGCGACTTTTTTAATTGTGAAAACAAAAAGAAATCGCACGGGGCCAAATCTGGAGAATACGGTGGATGGGGCAGCAGTTCGTAGTCCAATTCGGATGAGCCGGTATGTTATCATGGTGCAAGAGCATGGGTCCGTTTATTCTGCGATTTAGCGTTGAATCGGTTCAATAATTGGGCATAGTAAAGCTCTGTGATCTTTTGCTCACGCAGTCAAAACACAACGAGTTTATTATTTACACTATTTAACTAAATGCCAAATGTTTTGTTACCCTACATTGTCTAATTCGAATTTTGGCCCCACCGTGCTACCTCTTTCGTTTGACATCGCGAATACTATATGATATTCGACTCCATTCGCTTAGCTCGGGCATATTTTGACAGATTCATTATCGGAAACCTACAATACAACAATTCCTACTGCTCAGTATTAATAGCTCAAGTATACTACTATTGCAGACTTCTTTCCTTGAAAAAAGAAGAATTATTCTAAAGAGTGGAAGTGCATACTAAACCCACCAAATTTTGGGTAGTATATATTTATAAAATATATTTTAGTTGTTATAATTTAGCGTAACTATTTACTATATGGTGCAGATAAATAAATATTGATTGTCGGTATATCGCAAAGTTCTATTTTATTTACTATTTAGTTCGTTTACTATTAATAACTTCGCAAAAAAATAATAACTAAATTCACTAGACAATTCGGACTGGGAATAGCGAACCGAGTATAGTAAATTTCGTATAAAAACCGAATATAGTAAACTTTTTTTGACCATGACTCAAAATGATCACCATTGTTTCTGGATCTGTTGCATTTTATTTCATTATCAGAAACCATTCGTGACACTACACTAACAAAATATTTGCTGAAAATTTTTCCCCTATTGAATAATTAGTTTTTTTGTCTCATAGGTTACGATGGAAAGGGATCTATTCATCAGAAGAATGTTTAGCAACACACCTCTTCTCTGGGATCTACTGAGTTTTGTCGCGGTCTACCGACCGGCTATATGCTATTGCTCCGTATTGATTAGAGCCTTAACAGCTACGTTGATTCACCAGTGGAAGAGTATGGGGGAACAAAGTAAAGACGACGATTCGGAGCATTACAAGAATCTTATGGACACGACGATTAGAGTAATAGATGTTATGGCTTTGGGACAGCTTTTGCCACCTCCCCTCTCTAGTACTAGGGATGTATTACCGTATTTAAAATGTTACGAGGTAGGTCTAAAAAAATAAATACTTTATTTATTTATATTGGTTGTTCCCTCGTAAATCTTTGCCACTGATCTATCACTATCATTCACACACAAATTTCCGGACCCTTCGTGTCTAGTTGTTTCCGTCCAGTCCCTCATAAAAAGAAGAAGTGATCAAATTGTCTATTTTTTTTTTTCAGATCGTAGCTGTTCTTAGAGAATGCATTTGGTGTTACATGAGAGATCACATTCCATCTCCAGCCTTATTCGCTTGTGACTCCAATGGAGTGCATTGGAGAGATCCCGTAAACGCTCGCCCACCAGAAGTGTACACCAACACTTTAAGAATAATAATGCAGAGAAATATTAAGACATTGGGTCACATGTATGCCCAAATGTTCATTAATGTACCCACACACGAGTCATGAGAAACTGTAAATTTTTTAATTTCTTTTTGTATAAAGTTTATATTTATGTTTTGAGTATTTTTCTTCCCATTTTATATATTGATATTTTTTAATAAATAATCGTTTGAGATAAAGTGTAATAAACGTGATCTTGTTATTATTCTATTTTATATATTCTCCTTTTTCGCAACAATACAAATAAAGACAAGAGTTACACTTAACTTGCAGGAAAAACTCCATAATCTTTGTTTTGTAAGAACTGGTTTTCGCACCATTGAGAGATGCGTTCATACTAAAAAAGACAAATAGTTTTTAGCGCATCCATCATTCATTGGTACAAATTAATCATACATATTTAGCTACTTAAAACACACACAAGTTTCTAGACACTTTTAAAATCACTATCACCTCCATAGAGAATGCCCTCATTCCATGCGTACATCTGTAGATACTTGCTAAATCACAGGTACATTTCTAATTACTTCCCAAAATATCCAGACGGGTCTAGATACTTCTAAAATTACTGTGATATTTTAAGATACTTCCCAAATTACTCATACGCCTGTAAAAATTTTTAAGATAAGCCAAAAGTTTCTAGGTACTTCCCAAATCACAGATGTGACCATGAGTATTTTCAGAATTAGCAAAAGCCTGTAGTTACTTCCCAATTTACACATACGTCTCTGGATACTTTCTAAATTACATATATGTCCCTAAGTACTTTTAAAAGCACAGTTAATTTGTTATATACTTCCCAAATTACTTATACGTTTATAGTATTTTCAAAATTAGTCAAAAAGGCTCTAGAAACTTCCCAAATCACACATGTGATCTTACGTAATTTTAAAAATAGCCAAAAGTCCCTAACCACTTTGTAAATCACGCATACATTTCTAGCTACTTTTCAAACTATCCATGCGCCTCCAAGAACTTTTAAAATCACTATTACATCTCTAGCTACTTCTCAAATTACTCAAAGTCTATTATGAAGCCTCTAGGAACTTCCTAATCACTCGACGGCTCTAGATATTTTCTAAACCAGGCATACTTCTCAAATTACTTTTAAGATCACTGTTACGTCTCTATGCACTTTTAAAATCACTGTTGCATCTCTAAGTACTTCCCAAATTACTTATTCGTCTGTAGGTATTTTTAAAATTAGCCAAAAGTCTCTAGGAAGAGACCTTTGGCTAATTTCAAATCACTAATATGACCTTAGTTATTCCAGAATCAGCAAAAAGTGAATAGTTACTTCTAATTCGTATCCAAATTGTTATATTTCACATCTATAGTCTCTAGGTTACTTCCCAAAAGAAACATGCGATATGTTCCCAATTATTTTTCAAATAAAGTCTTTAGATACTTTCAAAATCGGTATTAAATCACTAGGGTTTTCACTAGTTACGCGTATGTCTCTAAGTCTTCACAAACCACGCATGCAAGTGTCTTCAAAATTCACACGTGTCTCTAACCACTTCACAAATCGAGAATACCACTCTATGGTCTGTTTTTTAACCAGGAGGAGTAATTCATATTTTCCGCGCCGTAATTCTTGTTTGTAATTGGTCCAACCGCAGGCAAGTTTACTCCACTAAATTATGACATATTGACACTAATGACATTTGTCAAATTTTAAAATTCAAAATTTATATCGACGATTTTTTGTATTTTCTGCGTTATTCCTTACATTCATAGATTTTTCGTTTGCATTTATATAAAGAACAGTTCTTTTCAGAACTATTTAGTGTTATTAAGATAACAATATGGATTCAATGCTAAGTACTAGTGGTAATTATTCTTCTCCACCTTAAAAACGCCGAGTAGATTTGGGTCATTTATCAACAAATAAGAAACAATGTTTTATAAACATGTATAAAAAAATGAAAATTGATAATTCTGGATTGAAAATAACAGCCACTGTAGGAAAAGTAAAACAGGCAGCAGGTTAGTTTTGCAGAATAGTTATTATTAAAATCAAAACTTACTAAAGTAATGTGCTAATTTTAGGTGTTGCGAATTCAAATATTAACCAAACAATTAAAGAATATAAGCAGACCGGTGATATGCGAATATTATTTAATGTGATATTTTTCTAGATGATATTTATACTAAATATTGTTTAAAGTATTGTTAAGAAGCATTTTCATTTGTTTTCATCCCAATAAAAGAACATTAGTAAAGTAATATTGTGTTTTAGTTTGATTGAATTTGTTAATTTTAGTCAATTTTATTTATTAATAACAAATGTTACAAACTCAAGAATCCAGCATTAAAAAAATTAGAAGTACACACTTCTTATTTATACAAAGTATCTTTTTGCATTATAGTGCTTCAAATAGAACCTAAAGATATTGATACATAAGTTAAACAAATCTATCTAATGAGATAACTGATTACCAAAATACCACACCTATATTTGAACTATAATTTATTCTGTAATGGAAAATATGAAAAAGTGAATTTTAAAGCAGTGAACGGGAAGGAGTATGTAAAACAAATTGCCTGAAACAATTCAGGAGATTGGATTATTAGGCTTAAAAATAATGATCAAAGTCAAAGTTAACTCTTCTGGTAAGAAAAAAAAACCTATATTCAAGAAATTAATCACATCAGAATAAAAATATGGTCTACGCAGTTTAAAAGAACAGTATTTCAGAAATCTTTGAACTGTCTCTAACTTTTTGATACATGCATTTGCATAGCTTTGTTGCATACTTATTAGATCTATTTGCAAATTAAAAGACAAATTTATGTGAAAAACCAAACTTAGATGAATGTGAAAACGTCCTTTTTTTATTGTAATAATTGTAATATCTATTGGAAGTGAATTAAAAAAAAAATTATAATTCAAACATAAATTAACAAAGTTGGGTTAGAATTGACGTGGAAGGTTGTCCGATATTGATTACTCGATTACCGCAAGGCCGAGATAATCAACAAAAAAGAAGATGTATTTGGTGACTTTTCTAGTAAGTTTCTTGGGTGTGAATCTGTCTTTTTGGTTTACTCCTCCTGGTTAAAAAACAGAGTATAGGTACTTTTAAAATCAGTCTAATTAACTTAAAATCACTGTGACAACTAAAGGTGCGTCTTAAATTCCACTCAATCTATAATCTATTATTCGATTAGGCAAACATTATATCACTATAATTTTTTCAAACTAACTGCCTCTAGTAATGTTTGAAGTTAGCCATGTGTCCCTACATACTTTTAAAAACAATGTTAGGTCTCCAGCTACTTCCTAAATCATATTTATTATGGTAGGGTCTGGTATTTTCAAGATCAGCAATATATATCTAAATTATTCCCAAATTACGTTTCTCTGGGTACTTTCCAGATCACGTTTGCATCTCTAGATACTTTTAAAACCAGTTTGCACCTCTAGATATTTCCCTATGGTAAATATACATATAAAGGGAGCAGTTTATTTTAGAAGATAACATAAAAATACATCTCTTGCTTAAAAATCAACTTGAACTGAAAATGATCAACTAATTTGCAGGAACAAATTTTTTAAACAATAACAAGAAAGTTCTACATACTTACTGCCCACTCCCTGAGAAATTATGTCATGTTCGACATATAATTTGGAATAAATGATACATATGCTCTTTCCAGCTTAAAACTATGAGACTTGTTAAAGTAAATTTAGAAGATTAGAAAATTTAGGCAAATTTTATATTATTCAGTTACGCCAAATGTAGGCAACTTACAATTCCTCGTTATAGTATTGCCGAATTTCAATATTTACTTAAGCTAGCAAGAAATATATACAACGCAAAACATTTTCTTCGCGTTTATTAACGTTCTTAAAGCATACCTCATAATAGCTGCGAATGGTATCATCCGCAATCCCTACATTATTTCTGGTATTTGAGAAAATTTTGAAAAGCCTGTTTGTCGTTTATAATCAGTATCCAAAACAAAGAAATAGTGAATTATTATTGTAATATATATGTTGTAAAGTATATTTTCTTTATTCTCAATATTTCGGATTATAGGATGAACTTGGAGTAAAAATGTGAAAATTCACCAAAATGTTCAGTTCAGTTTTAAACACCAAAATGGAGTTTAAAAGTCAGTGTTTTTTACATTAGCATGCGTTTAGGAGCAGTGTGTACATAAATTTAAATAGAAAAACTTTGACCAATATGATGAATTTATTAGGCTGCGCGCGCAAGGTCTTTTATCATTTCCGTTTTCAGTCTCATATACGTATATTAAAAAGTTTTTTGACTTCCTGAAAAGTTGTACAACTGTGACATGTTCCCTTTCTGCAGTTGGCAATTCAGCTATAAGTATTTTAATCATGTATTGAAAATGATGCAATACCTCCTTCGTGCTATATAGGGATTGGGGCTTGCAATTGTTCCCCATGGACAAGGAATTCCCAGTAAGCACGAGTCATAAGCTCGCGTTGATTACATCTCTGCCCTTTGTACGCACCGCCCATTGCTAGTATCTGTACAACTGTGATATAAAATGGAATGCTTCTCTTTCTCAAGGTGCCGTGCATATCTGCGTAGGCGTCCACCGTACATCGTCTTGTCAGGTGAAATGTTAAATATTCAGGATTAAATAATTCTGTTTTTAGCAGCATTGCGAAGCATTTTATAGCTGTTGATTCCTGTCCATTGTCGAATATTGCGCAGCCATGACATTTTTTTACGTCCCAGACCTCTCCTAACCTCTATCTTCCCTTCGAGTATCAGTTACTGAAAAGTGTATCTTTCTCCTCGTAATATGTGCCCCAAGTTTGCAGTCTTTTTACTTTTTACATAACTAAAAAGTTCCCTATCCTGTAAGCCCACTCTTCTGAGTACCCCCTCATTTCTGAACCTGTCCGTCCATGATATTCTAAGCATTCGACGCAGGCACCACATTTCAAACACTTCAAGTTTGTTAATGGAACTGGCCTTTAACGTCCATGCTTCCATTCCGTACAAGAGAACAGGCCACACGTAACACTTAAGCATCTTGTATCGGAGGTTGAAGTCCAATTTGCGATCAGTCAGAAACTTACGAAGCCTCAAAAAAGCATTTCTGGCTTGTTCAACTCTGCTCTTTATTTCATTCTCGGGGTCCCAACCCTCGTTCAGCAAACAACCCAAATACTTGAATTGCCTGACCTGTTTGATTTCTTCTCCAGAGACATAATATATCTTTACGTTGGGGTAATCATTTCTACTTATAATCATTGTTTTTGTCTTCTTGATGATTATTTTCAAACCCCGAGCTTCACTTGCTAAAGTTAGATCATTTAAAAGGCATTGAAGATCTTCGATGTTATCTGCCTCTATGGCTGTATCATCGGCATACCTGATGTTATTAATAAATATGCCGTTAACTTTAATACCCTTATTTAGAGTCTGCGACTGCTTCTGCGAAGGCTTTTTGTACGTATAAATTGAACAGCATCGGAGACAGTATACAACCTTGCCTTACTCTTTTTTTTAATGGAGAAATCTTCTGTTTCGTTGAAATTTTGAAGACGTACTGTTGCTGTCTGGTTCCAATACAGATTGGCGATAATTCTTATATCCTTGGCATCCAATCCCAACTCTTGTAGGTATTTTATCATCAATTCGTGTTTTACATTATCGAATGCTTTCTCGTAATCGATGAAACAGACAAAGAGACATCCTTTATTTGATCTAAACAATCCTGTATTAATGTTTGCATACTAAAGATCGCTTCTCTCGTGCCAAGTCCATTTTTGAAACCAAACTGACTCCATCCACTGACCTTTTCACATTTCTTAAACAATCTAGTGTGAAGTATTCTCAGGAAAAGTTTTTAAAAAGTGACTCATTAGGCTTATTAGTCGGTGGTCTTTGCAGAAGTTCGCACGTGGTGTTTTTGGTAGGGCGATAAATGTAGATCGAAGCCAATCTTTTGGAATCTGGCCCGTATCGTGGATGTCGTTAAAGAGCTTGACAAGATAGTCTAGGTTTTCTTCATTAAGTAACTTGATTGTTTCTGCGTACATATCATCTGGTCCTGGGGTTTTGTTACTTTTTAATAGTTTGATAGCGTGTACAATTTCAGATTTCAAAATATTTGGGCCATACAAATGGTCTCCCAGTTGTGGTGGTTTTTGTGTTCTGTCATCATTGAACAAATTGGCTGTGTATATTTTCCAAGTATTAAGTATATCTCTAGGGTCCGTTATTAGTTCATTTTGGTCATTATGTATACCAGTGACTTGTTTTTTCTTGAAGACGCCAGCAATTTCCTTGTGAAGATTGAAGCTGTCGCCGAGTTTATATAGGTTTTCAGCCTAGGTGCAAAGTGTAGTCATCCAGATCTCCTTCGCCGCTATAATTTCTTTACGAATTTGACTGTGTATATTTCGGTACCCTACTTGGTCCTGTCTAATCTTACACTGCCTGCGTTGTTCCATGATCTCTAATAATGTCATCTCTGTCATCCACTCATTCTCGGTAGTTGTTTTACTCTTGAGTAGAAAAGTGTTGTTCACCTCATCAAATGATTCCTTTATGGTGGTACATGACTTTCCAACATTATCCTCAGTTGCCATATTAGAGAACCTATTGTTTATTTCCTATGTGTACGCTTCACGTTTCGTTGTTTTTGAGTTTTCTAATGTTTACTGATGCCTTCTGGTGTTTTCTTTTAGCTGTAGCGAGCCTTAGTTTGATATTTGCTACTAAGGGATTGTGGTCGGATCCTATGTCTGCTCCAGGTAATGCAGATACCTTAGTAATAGCATTCCTGTACCTTCTATTGTCACATAATCTATTTGGTTCCTTATAAACTGTAAAGCCTCCTGGGTGGTAACTTATACCAAGTATTCGTTATGACTAGATCTTTGTCTTGGCAGTACTGTATCAATCTGTCCCCTCTGTCGTTTCTCTAAGCAAGACCATATTTTCCAACTACGTGATCTACGGCTTCTTCCCCAAGTTTTGCGTTAAAGTCTCCTAATACAATGTTACTTCTATTAGGAGACTTTGGAATGCAGTTAAGAATTTACTTTATAATTTATGGTTTATTTCCAACAAAATATTTTATTAACACCGGTAATTTCGAGGAACAACTTATTATTTAGAAGGTAGACATCCACATCTGACGAAATAATAAAATGAAAACAGGTTTTTGGATAAATAATGAAACAAAATCAACAATAATAATGTATTTAAAACCTATTATGTATGCCACCATTATATTCATAAAAAAATAACAATTTTTTCCTTTTTTTTTAGGCTTTAACCTTTTCCAAATTAACTTTAAACAGGTTCCATACATATGAGGAGTATTCCCAAATTCGCAAATAAAAGTCCAACAATATCCAGAACGTATTTCCACGTTAGTCAGGATGCCCCAATTCTACTCGCAACCATTCCTGTCAAAATTGTTACTTCCTTCCAACTATTGTTCCTTGTCAGTCTTCAATATTTAAAGGCAATGCTAGTTATTAGGATGTCTTTCGAGGATTCAAACTTTAATAAGAGGTGTTGCTGGTAGTGTTGTCTCAAAATACGGGAATTTATACTTCCTCTGTAATTACAACACAAATATACGATTATAGAAATCCTCGCAACATCAACATATTACTCCCAATGTGTATAGCACCAATTAAACAATGCAGACCGTTTAGTCGATTCCAAATGCTTTATTTAATTCTTTTAAATCCCTTTTATCCACTAGATGCTTGAGGTCGCCCCGATTCATCAACGATATACACATGCGTAGTGTCGACCATATTGTATCCGACATTTGGGACATAGAACCCGAGTTTACTACATCCTTCCCCCTCGCTTGTTGATTTAAAGCCGTCAAGAAGTGCTCCGCCGCTTCTCTAAAACAAAAAATATCGTATAAAAAGTGGTATATTGACTTGTCCATAGACAAATAATAATTTGAATATATTATGTCACTTTACATTAATCTAGCTTTCGTTAGATGGCGCTACAAAGTGTTTTCGGTTTCGACATCTGTTATTCAATGTATGATCTTGGACATGACGAGCTAAAAAAGTTGGAAATGCGTCTTGTAATCCGTCCGCTGGTTCTCTGCGATTATGTTATTCAATAAATATGATATACCATACCTCGAAATTAAAAAAATAGTAGAAATAGTCGCTAGACAAGCGACTGATAAACTACCATAGATACTACTAGAGGATATAGCAAATATGGAAATTGCAAACTGGAGAGAAAATATTCAGGACCGGAGAGAGCAAACAAATATAATAGTCAAAGCAAAAGAAAACATAATAATCTTTGAAACAGAGCCTAAATCATATAAATGTGGACTAATCCAGCGTGATAAATGACTTAACAAAACTCACGGGATATTGTGCGACCTATAACTTAACCTAGAATCATCGGCCTATAACAGCTACTATAAAGTCTATTCCATAAATTTACGACTGTTTTTTTTATATTGTTTTCTTATATACAAGAAACAGTGAGAGAAGTAAAAGAACAACACATGAAGAAAGATACTTTTTTTTCCAGTAGGCTGGATTGCAAAATTATTATGCAAAACCTATCCGACCGATCTTAACAAAATTTAGCACACGTTTTAAACATTAAAAAGTTTTTCTAGGCGGAATATGGAACTTGTAAGTCAAGTTTAGAAAGTTGAAAACATTTAAAGGATTAACTTCATTTTTTTGTAGTTTTTTTTTCCAATTATTGCTATTTTTTCAACAATAACCATTAAATTTTCAATTTCTAGCTAACAAAATATTGTGTAAGATTTAATAACGAAACTTTTAACTTCTTATAATTTTTTCTCTAGGATCACTATTTTCCGAATTATAAATGAAAATAAGAGCAAAAAAATGAGAAATTTTCAATTGTTTTCAGATTTTGTTAAATAAAAAATTTAGCACAGGGTTTGCGACTGGCGCATATCGTGATTATCGATACTGGACGTATTCTGAAGGGATTCCAGCAAAAAAATAGCTTCCTATGGAAAATTTCCAATCCAAAACAGATCCCGCCTAGACTATAATGAGATATCAAGGCAGATATGAGCTTCTCCAATGTATTTTGCAAGGTAAAATTGAAGGGAAAGGGCCCCAGGACGAAGAATATCCTGGCTTGCTAACCTGACAGTATTTTATAGAAAGACCTTAACACGGCTATATATAGCAGCTATGTATAGCAAATAACAAAGTCATCATAGCCAGAATCAATGTTTGGAACACACAGGCACCCTAAGAAGATAAAAGTCGTATATTCATCGAATAGACTGAAGTTACGTTCGCCTAACTTCTTTCCTTAGTCCTGATCCTCTTGGTCCGTACCAGATCCTCCTCCGTGACGCCATCTTGTTGAAACGCTTCGTGAATGTTCAGAATCATAATAAACACGGGGGACCAAACCTAATGAAGGACTCCGCCAGTTCACGGCATCCTTGATAAGCGATCAACGTCACAATCAGCATGATTTTTGGTCCTCAAAACTTTAAATTGTCACAATTGAGGCACATTACGAACAGCACTCCAAAAAAAGAAAGATCTGGACGTGAGTCTTTTATCGTTTGTCTAACGCATCAAGGACGCCGTGAACTGGTGGAGTCAGTATTTGGTTTTGGTCAATAATTTTAACGGTATTTGATTTATTAATTCCAACATAGAAGATGTAAACAATGATAATGTTCTACGAGTTTATTGTGCGTGGAAAACACATCGGCACAACAAAATTGAAAGTATCAAAGGAATACAACAGCTTGATGTACGAAAAGAAGACTATCCATAATCCCGACGGCACATTTTTGACTCCCTTTATTTTAATATTAGCGAGTGAATTAAATCTTAATATGCTTACCTATAGGCATTTAGATTAATACATGTGATTCCTACATTGTACCTAGCCCTAATGAAACCTGGACTTAAATTTAAAGAGTGGTGATAAGCATCAACTGCTTCCTCTGGCCTTGAACCATTCGCTAAGGTCGCTCCAAGTCTGTTCCAGAGTCTGGCGTCCTGTAAAACAAAATTACCAATAAACAAATAAACTGATAAGGCTTTGGAATAAAAAAGAACCAGTGATAGTCATTTGGAGGAAAAATATGTTGAAAATAGTAAAGTAGAATCAAGTAGGTTTGGGCTTTCACAAATATTTTTGAAAAAATTTAGCTGTTTTTTTATTTCAAAACGGTACTTACAAAAACATGTCATTTACATAGAATAGTTAGGCTTTTATAGAGTCTAAGCAAAGTTTAGTATAATTATAAGTACATAGAATATAAATAAAGTTATATTGAAACGAAGCCGTATTTTTAATAATCTTTTGACTTCAACAATTGAAAAAAATTAATACTTACATCTGGTTTAACCGACAAGGCTGCCGTAAAACAATCTGCAGCTTTATTATATTCACCAGTTAGATTAAACAATACTCCCAGTCCACATTGAACTTCGTAATCTATTTGTTGTGGATTCCGCTGAGCTGCCTTTATAAATAAGTCTTGAATTATTTTGTGGTCATTCCTGTACAAGAAGAAAACGTGTTAATAGGACGTATTAGATGTGACGTCACGCATCCATGTTTGGTTAAGCTAATACTTTGGATAAGATCCAAGTGCAGAATCACTACGTTCATGACGTAGTTAATCAAACTCACATTTTTACATACATTTTAAAACTAGGAGAATACATTGATAATAGGATGCTAGTCAAAAAGTGACCGCAAATATTTTTAATTCAATTAATAGTGATTAGTTTTTGACAAATATTTTATTTCATACATTTATTTTGGTAAATGGTCAGAAAAACAAGGTTCAAATACGCCCACTCTTTAGATATTTTCAGAAAAAAAATGTCATAATGTTGTCGATGCAACTACTGGACTGGGATGTGATTCTAGTATAATCGTTTATAGATATTTTTAGACCAAAAGATGTTAATAGATTTTGAATATCAAAAAAGAGTCAGATTCGGTTTTAAAATTTTTATTAAAATCACCAAGTATGATCAGTTTGTCTGCTTTACTAAGCAAGGACGTTATGACATTTTCAAAATTTATAAAAAACAAGTCAAAGTCATCCTTACCCGATCTGTATACAGTTAAAATATTGGTTTTTATTGAAGGTACATAAATTGCACAAAACTCAGAACTTTGCTCTACATTATGTTCCTTTAGATTAAGAGAGGAGTATATAAGATTTTTTTTAAATAAATTGCAACTCTGCCTTGTTTCTTTTTTACCCTACAAAAGAAATTAGCTAATGAAAAGCCGGAGATGCTAATTAATTTTACATTTTCTTCATTTTGCCAGTGTACCGAACAACATATGATATCATATAATTTTTGATCCGCAAGAAAAGCATTAATCATATCGACTTTATTTGAAATACACTGCAAATTAACAAGAAACATGCTTACCGTACCTTGTCGAATTTGTATATTTTGATAAACGTCAGTAGAAGCTTCTAGGTTTCTTCCTCCGTCCTCTTTATGCACTGAAAATTTTTTTAAGTTAAATCTCCTAACGGCAGCTCCTTTGGGCCAAATATTATGACTGTAATTTTAAAATTGACTTCGTCAATTTTATCGAAAAGGAAAGACACCTTATATGTGGAGTATTTGTCAGTTCTATGCTAATTCTACGCAGTTGAAAGTAATATCGGTTACAGTCTCACCCAAAAATTTTAGAAGATGTTGCTTCCAATAATCGGTTTGTATTTGTTTTCTTTTTTCGATTGGGTATTCCAAGCTGAGTTTCCTGTTTTTAGATTGTTTTTATTTTCTTTTTATTTATCACTCATGTATGAATGAGGTAGGCTTGTGCTTTTGTTAATATGTAATGACATTTTAATGGGTTCTTGACTGATAGAACCTGAGCTAGTCGGGCCTGCTTAATTTAGTTTTTTCGTTAGATGACGTCGGTATGGGTATGCCTGAATTTTTGTTATATTTATCTTTTAATAAAGAAATTAAATCTTGTTGCTCCTCCGTACGTTTTTCTATATGGAATGATAGTTTACTTACTGCTGCAAGTTTACTTTTTATGTTAGTTCGTTCCTTGTTAGTCTTTATACACTGATCATACACAATCACGTCTAGGTTATGTCCAACATTGAATGCTTTAATACCTTTTTGTCTTAATTTATTAACGTAATCTGATAACTGTGGATTAGAACCGGACAGTGGTAACTTTAAATTCACTAATATGTCAATTAATTCCTGCTTTTTTAGTTTATTTAGTTCCGCCGTTAAAACTGCGACTTGACTATCGGACGCCATCTTGCAGTGTGAGTATCGTTGCGCGATAACTTTATTTCACTTTATCTTTGATACCTCGCATTTTCAACAGCTAGCAACCCTAATTTGCGACCATTTTTTCTCAAGTAAACTTATATCATCATATTAACAAAAAAATAGCTTTAATTTGATATAAAAAACATGCATATAGGTCATGAGTATCGTATTTTATTTAAAAAATGAATGAACGAAATAAAATTGTTGTTTGTTTTATTGGCACTGGTTTTAACAACTAACTGACTTACTATTATTTGAATTCAAAATATTTGCGGCCACTTTTTAACTGGCAACCTATTATCAATGTATTTTCCTTAATTTTAAATGTATATTATACAAATTTGAGTTTGATTAACTATGTTATGAATGTAGTGATCCTGCAGTGGGATTTTGTACTATAAGGAAACCTATTTTTCAGAAATAAAAAAAAATAAAATTGATCTAAATATTTCTTTTTTTAACAAAAACTTATCTGTATTCCGTTAACAAGGAGACTTAGGTAGAAGTAGCCGCCATCCATATATGCCAGCATTCCAGTTCGAAGAGTCCAGCCGCCGCCAAAACCACCAATCACGTAATAAACTTCATCCAAACAAACAGGAAAACACCAATGCACTATGGGGTACTATAAAAATCCCAAAAAAGAAACTGGTAGGAAAACCTTCTCTCATATATTGTTGGAGAGTTGTAAAATAACAAATTTTCTCATTTTGGAACAGGTTAAATGTAACAATACTGTAGCGATTACACCTCATATTTTTTCCTTGTTTTCAATGTTCCTTGACCTCGTGTTCTTTCTTTCTCTCTCGGCCCTTTCCCTACATATAAAACGATATCTCTCACTACTAAAAAATCAATACTATCAGTCTCCGACGAAGAAAACGGAAATGGTCTGTTTATAAAAAACACTAACCTTTAGAATCGATTAGAAATATGCTTTATGGACTACCTAAGTCTGACGTCATAATGGGCGAAGCTTAGAAAAGCTTTCCGAACAGTTCTAATTCGTGTGTATTTGTCCCATAAGAAGTTGGAAATAATTGTTTTTCTAATTGTTTGAATCGTAAATAAGGACTCTTGGTTATGAACATTTATTCTGTGCGATAGCTATTATTGGTTGTTCGTGAATTTGTGAGGTAAGAATATCAAATTATTAGGAAGTATGTTATTTTGGAATATGCTAAATTGATTTCCTTCGAAACAGATCTATTAGCATAGCATAGCGGGCAGAGGCTAGTTTCATACATAACAAATCGAGATGAAGGGACCATTTAAGGTTGCTGTCTATAAAAATACCAAGAAATTTTACAGAATCAACTATACTGATCTGGCTGGTTTTAAGAAACAAGGATTGAAGAGCTCCTTTATAGGATAATGCTACTGTCTTATCCAAGTTAAAAGAGAGTAAATTAGAGTCGCACCAGGTTTTTATTTTATGTAGATCAGAGAAGTTACAGTTGCATGAAGAGATGAAATGTTAGGAGTTTCTCTAGGTGATACTGGTATCATCAGCCAAAAAAAAATTTCCATCGATTTTTAAATTAGTAATGTCAATTATAAAGATAAGGAAAACTAAAGGACCCAATAATGAATCTTGTTGTACTCCATATACAATGCTTTTGTGACTAGAGTCATTTTGCTCTAACCAGTTGTTTCCTATTCCCCAAGTAAGATTGGAACCAATTCAAAGAAATACATCGAATTACTTAGAAATTTAGTTTTTTTTTAATTAAAATGGTGTGATTTACAGAATCAAAAGGTTGGACATAGTCCAAAAAACAATGGCAGTGTTAAGATTATTGTTTAGTGCTTTAGGTAAACCTCATCACTGGTACCTACATTTAATTTCTGTGAGATTTGAGCAAATTTTTATAAATAGTCCATCAGTACTATAGGAAGATTTGCTTTTGATTCTATTGATTGTTTGGATCAGATCAGATTTATCAACTGGTCTGATATGAGGAGATAGGAAATGGGATCTTGTGGCAAAATAGTTGATGTTATATTTTTACTCACATTATCGAACTATTATTATTGAGCTGCGTTTGTTTCATTTCGAAGACCGTTTATTATGGACCAAGTTTCTTTAGAGCTTCTCGGACGATTTTGATAGTACGCTTTTTTAGCTGTTTTGATAAGTTTAAGATAGGTTACTCTGTACTTGGTGATATATTCAGTGACATGGACGTTGGTAGTAAATTTCTTAATGTATAGCAGTGAACGCATATTCTTGGCTGATATGCGGATACCTTGGGTAGTTCAGAATTTGTGACAGCTTAATTGAAATTAAAGGAAATGCTTTATTGAAACAAGCTTATCTAAAAAATCACTGAAATTATAGTCCATGTCCACAGAAGGAAAGTACTGTCATCGAGTGACATAGTCTGAGGAATAGTACGCACTGCGATGCGCATCGCACCGCCTCGAATTTTCCTATTGGCTGTTAACCTGGAAATCCCTATTTGTTGCTGGTATAAATATTACAGCACATATAAATATATACTTCATCTAATTTAGATAACGACTTACGTCATTATCTACGTCAGAGATCGAAGTTGACATAGTTGCCAAAGTATAAAAAAATCCTGACTCCATTTTAAATCAAATAGATTACATAATTATTGCAAAAGTATTACCATCTCTTTACAACGACTATTTAAATTCTTACGTGACATTTTTGAAATAAAACACAATAATTTTGTTCTAAAAAGAACAGATTTTATTAAATAGTTAAAAATATAAAACAAGAGATATTCACTTTAAAATTCAAAATAATGAAGTACAAAAAGTGTCAACACCGCAACTGTCAAATAAGTGTTACCAATTTATGCCAAAATTTTAGCTTTGTTCGATTACAGTTACAGTGTGTTCCGAACAAATGTTCTTGATGAAAACGCTTTATAATGCATTTATACAAATTAAATGAAACATATTATTGTGTATTTCTTTAAGTTAACATTAATAGACATTTTTAAATATTATTTCTACGCGTATATAATAAAATATGTCTAGTGGCTGTAATGCCAGTGTACTCGGTAAAGTGATTCTAAAAAAGAACACACCTACACCCTAAATATTTTGTGTTGGTATCATGTAACGTCACAGGCTATGACGCCGATGACGTGCATCGTTATATAAATTAGATGAAGTGTAGGTGATTTTCAGGTCAGCCAGGCCAGTCCTACACGGACTCTCCTAGAGCATATCACTCTAGGGGCTCTGCTTCTTGTTTTAGACTCTGCCTGAGTTTTATTTCAACCTTAGTCGTTGTTTATAAGATAAACAACACTGTATAACATTATACAGAGCGTCCGGCGTGATATAAAGGGTTTAAGGCCCTTCCTAAAATTCCTACCTAAACGTCGGTTTACATATTTAAATATTCACCAATAAGAAAGGTGATTATTAATGTTTAAATCAAAATGTAAGACAAGATGACAATTTTAGCATATGAATATCTTCTAACCCAACATAAAAATAAATATATACCTGAATATTCAACCATTATTATTAACCATTATAATAACCAAATAATGAAATGAGAACCTCATTATACTGGAAATTTGGAGTACCAAAATCCAACAAAAATTCCACTACTAACGAGATAGGATATTAAATTATAAAATATACATTTTTAACTAATTAAATTTAACACGAAGAAACCGTTAACGACTTTATTTCCAGACGATAGAGTGGTCCGAGAGGCAGCACTGTGAGACAACCATCAAACATAAAATGTTTCCACGTTCCTGCTCACTACGAAAGGAAGAAAAGATCTACCGAGTCTGTGAAAACCTGGAGCGCTACCACCGTGACTTTTAGTACCAATCATAGGGTGTGATCACATAGACAGACAGTTACTGGATAGAAGACGAGGCCTGAGACCACGAGTCAGTCGAAGCTCCATGAACTAATACCGTCTAGCGACATGTTTCATATATTTATACTATTAAATACTCTCAGGAACTCTTTTAACATATAAATTAACATTTAATGTTATTTATAACAAATAATAATTAATATTGCAATAAAAGACACAAATTAAACAATATGGTTAAAAGAGTAATACACAATTATTAGGAGCAAAGCAGGTTACAGAGAAAAAAAGCTATGTACAACACTGATTAGAATATCTCTATTTATAAATAATATGTTTATTTCGTAATTCGATGCTTGAAACTGCAAACAGACGAAAAAGAAGCTGTTAATTCCATGCTTGTTACGTATATTACCTTTTAGCACTGTATCTGCAAATGGGGCTTACCATAAACAACGACGTTTTTTTAACCCACTGTTACTTTATTATTTCGTAAAAACCTTTTACCTAGTAGTTCAAAAGCTTTTGAATTTTTCTGATAAGCTCTACATATGGTATTGGCATCTTTTAATTCCATCTTGTGAGTGTTGCTGGATCGCTTATGGTCTTTTGTTTCTTTCTTTTCAATCTTGTGAAATTACTTGTTTATAAAATGGCAATGGGTAATCATTTTTTATTAAAACGTTTGTTAGCAGGTTTTTTCTTCTTGAAATGCATTTTAGTTGGAGCAGGTCGTTTGGGCTCTATCATATAATGATATGATTACCTTTTTGATATATATGTGGTGGTTTGAGTGATAATTTATATAATTTGTTGGTGCGGGGTTCTTTCTTTTGATAGAGTTCTCTAAATGTTCTCCCTATCTTATCTTAATTTTTTATTCTCTCTAACAAAATTTGATCTTGTCTATCGTTTTAATAGTGTTTAGTGTCGCCCTCTATAGGTTAATATATCATTACCATAAGATTTACACCATTGAAAATATTTATAAACCTGCAGTAAAAAAATCAAAAATTTGTAATTATTGTCTGTATATTAATTACTTATATATTAATAACGTTATCGTAGTATTTATGTATTACAAATAGATTTGTTGAAGTTCAAATTTGGATAATATTTTGGCAAACACAGTAAGGTAAATTTATAGATTTTAAACATTTTATGACCTTATTATTTATATTTATTAAACAGTAATATAATACTAAGGTTGAGTTTACCGAAAGTACAAGCTGAATATAGCCAGAAATGTCAACCATGAAATAAAATATTTCGGTTTGGCAGTGTTGCGATATTTTTACATCAAAAGTAAAAGAAACAAATATTTACTCATTATTGTTTTATATAAATCAAAAATTGCAGAATTCATAACATAATATAATCAAAATGTACCTTTCTAAAGCTTTATCTCTTTATATTTGAAGCATAAATCATTTCATCATTATAAAAATATGCCGACACTGCTAAACCGAAATTTTTTGTTCCATGTTTGACATTTGCGGCTATAATCAGCTTGTACTTTCAGTAAACTCAACCAATACCAATTTATATATTTTATATTTATTATACCAATTGATATATTTGCAGAGTGTATCTGTGCTAAAAAAGAGTTAGAAGTAATTATTTGAATAATGATTTGTTGAGATCCTAATCCTACCTCCCTTTTTGTCGAATTGTAAAAACAGATTTACTGTTTTAAATCCTAATCCAAATTATTTTTCCTTTTTCTATTTTACTTTAATGTCATGAAGCAATATTATTACATTATTATTATTATTATTATCAATATATATATATATATATATATATATATATATATATATATATATATATATATATATATATATATATATTGTTGAAATAATGGGGAAAATCATTTTTTATGATTGGTTGCTCCTGTTTAAGAACATCCAGATCGAAAAGAACCGTAAAATAGGCTGTACACTACTCTTCGAGGTAATTTATAAACTGACTTGCATCTAATAATTTTCGCTTGCAATAATCTTAGTTTTAACCATGCAAGATATGTAAAAAAGAACCAAAAACCGATAAGTGTCATATTATTTGAAAAATAGAGGTAAGCAGCGCATGCAACCCACGCCTTGCACTTACTGAACTAACAAACTTGTAACTTGCCCAGATAGCTTTAAATTAAGAGGTACGAGTTCTTGATATTTCGGATTATATTTCAACCAATTCAGTAACATCTGACAGGCTTGGTTATAGTAACTTTCGTTCGTGTAACTCACTGCTAACGCCATCAAGGCCTTTAAGTTGGAATTGTCTAGGAGAAGGCACCTATTTAACGCCGGTATCGCACTTGGATCCTTAAAACAAACAAAAAAAAGTGTTACAATAAATAAAAACTGACATCTCCTAACCTCACTTTCAACAAATTCTCTCTAAAACTGAGTTACCTAGAAATCAGTATTTTAGTATAAAATTATTTAATTATTTGCTATTGTGTGATCTGTAAGTCACACACTTCACTAGCGTAATTTAATAATAATAAAAAGTTTATTAATTGCTGTGAAAGTTTCTGATTTTCATTTTGGATATTAGAAACAGTACTTAGAATTTTCAGCCTCTAAAGTTGGAGCTGTTCACCTTCAAAAAAAGTTATGATGTTCTTCTTTTGTGATGATTTTAGAGACGCGTATAAAGCTGTCCGTGTTATGATTGGTTATAGTCAATATTGTTACGAACATACATTCGACGTAGCCCATATAACAGTTGAGGTGGACAGAAATAGAGGTGGACCATTCCAGATTATTCTAGTACATAATAATTTGTAAATATAAGCAAGGCTTTTATGAGCTAACGTCAGTTGATAAGATACTATCGTACTGTAAACGTATAAATAAACATATCTACTTAAATTGGAACCGCTCGTTTTATTTAAAAACATTACAGTGGTGTCACGGTGTGAGATTTAAAAATAAATTCAGCAGTGACTTTTGAAAAGTATTGTTCGTCGGGAACATTCGCGTAGTTCGGTAGTGATCTTTGTAAAAAAAATGAACATTTAAAAAGTACGTGTCTGCCTGACGAAAGATGCTGCTAGTACAACTTTCAGTAAAACAGTTGCGTGAGCAACTAGAAGAACGCGATGAAGACTGCAGCGGATCTAAGAAGATCCTCCAAGAAATACTGAAGAATGTTCTCAACAAGAATGTAGATAACCCAGAGACATTCCATTTTCAATCAGCCGTAGAAGCAATTTCAAGAAAGAATGATGAAAGATTCGATGAAACGTCTCAAATTATTAAAGAAGCAGCTAAACAAAACGACAAGATATTCGAAAATATTTCTAGAAGATTCGACGAAGTATGTAGAAAGAACAATAAGAAATTTGAAGAAGTTTCTAGAACATTTGATAACATACAAAAAAATGTAAACGACTAAATAGAAAGACGAGAAGATCAAACAATTAGAGACCATGATAACTAATACAAAATTGCTACAACCAGTTAAAGCAGTAGTTTTACATCCTGTAGTGAAAGAAGAACCAAAACAGTTGATCAAAAGTCTTCTTGGTCCATATAGCTTAGACAATTTGAAGCTATTGCGATCATTGCCAATCATTAGACAGAACAAGAAAAAGCTGTTTCCTTGACTGCTGCTTTACGAGGTGATGCTGCGGATATCCTAAAATCAATTCCTAAGGGTCAAGAAAATGTTACCAGACCTTGTTCACTCGACTAGACAAACCTTACGGAGATGCCCATCTAGAACAAGTTTACAAAGTACAAATAAGAAGTAGAATTGAACGAGCAAGTGAGTTTGCAAGAATTTGAAGCTGATGTTGCTCGTATAGCGCTGTTGGCTTATCCTGGGACACCAGGCAACATATTGGAAGAAATTGCTGTAGATACCTTCATCAATAGGCTGAGAGACAGTGAACTACAGAAAGCTTTACGACTAGCAAGACCGGAAGTTTTAGATGAAGCGCTCTTGTCTTGGAACACGAAACAGCTAGTTAAACAAACAACTGTAGTGACAATAAATTATGTGGAAGTATTGAAGACAAAAGTTTTCAGTGTTTTCTTGTTATATTTTATTGTAAAAATAGATTCTGTTAGTGACTAAATAAATAATTCTCGTAATAGAATGTTTATATTTATAGACAATACTGAACGATCAGTCAGAAATCGAACTTTTAGATCTAAAAAAAAACTTTCTTACCTGTTCATTTTCGGCTTGTGTTGTTCCAAGTAAGAGCCATGCCTCTGCATTTTGTGGCTCTTGTTTGGCCGCTGCTTCAAAACAGAGCACGGCACTTGGAAAGTCGCCTTCTGCCAGGAATTGTTTACCCCTTTCAAGGGGTTGTGGGATATCCGCCATAGGATTGTCTTCACTGAAGTCATATTCCTGTAAAAAAAAATTTATAAGTAATTTATTTAAATTAAGAATTTATAAATAATTTTATCAATTTATTATTGTTTTGTATTTTGAGAACGATTTCCGAAGTGGAAATACGTCAAAAATAAACTTTTTGAACCTAAATTGTGGCTTATTCGCAATAAAAACAGCAATTGCGATAAATTTATAGAATTAGCAATTAATTATTACATGAAGTGGATGATGAACACATTATTAAATTATAACTAAAGGTATGTACCTTTGTGGTCATATTATAATAGTTATTGAATTCATCTATCCATGGTTGAGATGGGTCTACATCTGTCTCTGATACTTTCTTCATTTCTTCTTGTAGTTTATCCCAAAATGCAGTGTTAAATTCCTCTACAAACAATAAACAATAATAATAACAAAAAGAGGTTAATCTTTGTAAATGGGTATATTTATTTAAAAAACCCTTAAAAGGGCCACATCAATAAAACAAACGTTTTCGGACCACACAGTCCATCATCAGGTTATTAAAATCGAAAATGCTAGGTCACAATGCCTGAGCCACCAAAATATTAGGGTAAAAACCCTTTAAATTACATTTAGTTATGAAATATTGTACATTGTGTTATAAAATAACTGTGATGTTCAGTATTAAATTAAATTTGACTGTAGGTAACACATGGTTCAATTGGGTTCCAGAGCCGGTGAGAGTTGAACGTGGTTCTCCGAGTGCAGAGGTTTCCTCTCACCGGCTCTGGAACCCAATTGAACCATGTGTTACCTACAGTCAAATTTAATTTAATACTGAACATCACAGTTATTTTATAACACAATGTACAATATTTCATAACTAAATGTAATTTAAAGGGTTTTTACCCTAATATTTTGGTGGCTCAGGCATTGTGACCTAGCATTTTCGATTTTAATAACCTGATGATGGACTGTGTGGTCCGAAAACGTTTGTTTTATTGATGTGGCCCTTTTAAGGGTTTTTTAAATAAATATACCCATTTACAAAGATTAACCTCTTTTTGTTATACGTGGTATACAGCCAGCTACAGGAATTTTTCCTTGTGGATTTTAATAATAATAACAACTGTTATGTAATATAAAATGAAAAATTAGTACAATACCTTCTACAGATTTGGACTGTTCGAGTTCCTCAGACCACTTTTGAGCAACTGTTTCAACTTTGGCGGCCGGTTTTTCATCCGTGTCAAAATATTCTTTAGTCCATTGAGCAGCTTCTTGTTCTGTCAGTTTTCCTTCTTCTATATTGGAGTCATTACCTTCTTCTTTCATAAATTTCATAAACTAAAATTTAATTATGTATTGGACAGATGAAAATATGTACTTAAATCGAAATTCAATAGGAATGTCAGTGATCCATTTACGAAGTTCTAAATACTTAGGTGTAGGGCGGCTAAATACTGATTTATTTATCACCACACAAATTTGTTTCTCAACTAAAATCTGTTATGGACAAAGTATACTCGCCGTATTTAGAAATTTGTTATTTACTAAGGCGTGCAGCTACAGTATCCAGAGTTTATCTGTATCAGCTCAATCAAATACCTGGATGCCACCTTGAATGTAAACAAACAATGAAATCGAGACAAACTAAATCAACATGCAGTACATCTGTTGATAGAAAATATAAAAGGTAGTGTTTATCTGTGAAAGAAAAACAGAAATGATCAAGTCGATATATGAGGGATTACATAGAATAACTTCAGATATGTAGATAGAGTATGCTGCTGCATTGTACGGAGATTCAACAAAAGTATCATAAGGTTCATACCTGATAAGGTTATGTCAGTAACCAAATTGTACATTTTTTTGATTCATCCAGCCCCTGGTTTAACAGGCTATATGTCTCAATTGTCCCATTCCATTGCCACCTCTTTGACATATATATTTAGAGGAACATCTCTGTTTTCTTAGGATTTATAGATAGTGAGTGTTCCTTGCACCATGTTTCTATTAGTCAGAGAGCAACTTGTAACCTCTCACATAGTGTGTTCTCAAACTTACCGCTTTGCAGGACAGCAATATCATCTGTCGCTGCTGAGTTGGTCAACCAGGGTATCTAGAACTATCTTCCAGAGGAGTGGTGATAGCACCCCTCTCTGTGGACACCCCCTCGTAACCATGCCTCTAATAGAAACATCTTCTACATTTATACTTATTGCTCTATTAGAGAGCATACTAAATATCCATTCACTTACAGCCAGGGGAACATTCCTGACGTTAAGCTGTTGAGTGATGATTGGGAATGTGGTTATATCAAATGCTCCCTCAGCGAATATACCTAGCATGATTTTTTTATTATCCAGTGATCTTTTAATTCTTCCCACTACATGATGCAGTGCAGAATCGGTAGATCTTCCCGAAGTATATGCATGCTAATTTGGGTGAGTGGGTTATGGACCAGAACTTCATCCCTTATGTACTCCATAGTTTTACTTCATCCCTCTCGCATAGCCTTTCCATAGTTTTCAACAGAAAGGATGTTAAGCTAATTGGTCGGAAAGCCTTTGGTAGGGTGTAGTCCATCCTACCTGGTTTTGTTATGAAGACCACACATACTTCTCTCCATTTCCTAGGAATATACCTCAGAGCCAAAGAGGCTTTGAATATTTCCACGAAGTGCGGCAGAAGGATATCCAGTCCCAACCGTAGTACGGCTCAATATATGCCGTCAGGCCCTGATTTGAAAGAGGTGAAGCACAATATGTGTATATGTATGATGAGTTCGTCAGGGGTATATATTTTAACACTTTTCCTAATTTATGTAAGTGTATTACTAAATTTATCACATAATGGGCATATCGCATCCAGTTGTACGTTTGTGCCAGTAAGAGCAATTTAGACATCATCCAGCGATATCAAAATTAAGTGTTAAGTGAAGTGTCTATAGAGATCTAGACTTCAATGTTGGTTCAGTCACAGAAATAGTTAGAAGACTCCAAAGAACTAACTAAGTCAAAGAAACAAGCTCTTTGAGTTAGTTAAGTGAAAAATTAGTAATATGAATGAAAATAATGTATGGTGTAAGTGATGGTACATGTTTATACTCTTGTAATAAATTAATAGAACCTTAAACATTGTAATGTCTGTAGTCTTATTTGAATTTCGCGCCATTGACAGATCTGATTGTCACTCAATTTGAAAAAAAGAAGATAACCACACACTTTATGTTTAGACTTGACACTTGTGATTATGAATTATGGCCATCTGAATGTTATGAAAACTGTTATGTCGAATTATGTACAATTAGTGTTTCTTTCCGCTAAATAAACTTAAGAAAACTAGAACAATATTATTTATTAACGGAGCCTACAGAATCAGAAGTGGGATTACGTGGATCGCCGATATTTTTGCAGATTTAAAAATTGTGTTTAGTATTGCCGATAGCCATGCCGGGATCAGACACCGAAATTGAAAATACAAGTGGAAACACCGTCGCTCAGGCGAGTATAGCTGAAATTGTTCATACAGCGGTACAGGCAATCCTCGATTATGAAGAGAAAAAGAAAATTGCCGGTCCAGAAAATCAGATGCCGACACATAAACCCCATAAAAATTACTAACAGTGAATTATCAAATTTAATGCCGGAATTTTCAGGCACAGACAAAAAACCAGAATGTTGCAATATGGTTAGAAAGAATAGAAAAAATCAAAACTGTGTATAATGTTCCAACTGATATTTTACAACTGTTAGTCATTGGAAAATTGACCGGAAAAGCGAAGGAATGGTACCTCAGCAAACCAAATTCAATTTCCACAGATTGGACAGGTTTAAAAAATGAAATTAGGAGAATGTATGGGAGAACTTATGATCCAGTGTCGTCGAGAAGAAAGATGGAGACTAGAAGCTGGAAAAAGAGTGAAAGCTTTTCAGCATATTTCCATGACAAACTGTTTACTGGGCAACGAAGCAGGAGTTGAGGATGAAGATATGATACATTATCTGATTGATGGGTTTGATGATCGCCTACTTCAAAATCAAGCCAAAATGATGTTATCCACACTCAATAGCACTGAAGATTTATATAAGTTAATGGGGAGTGTTGTTAAAGATGAGGTATCAGGAAGTGGACAAAGGTTTGCTACAGCATCAAGTTATAGGGTAAGTTCTAGCCAGAACCAACCTCATACAGCAACACAGGGTCGGATGCCAGTTCCTGTAAAATGCTTTAATTGTGGTCGTACCGGACACAAAGTGACAGAGTGCAGACAAGCCAAGCGTGATAGGGGATCATGTTTTAGATGTGGAAGCAAAGATCATATGGTAAGAGACTGTCCTAATAGAAACCAGCAAGTGGTGCAACAAGTTGCAGATTCAACTACCCGAGATAGTAATGGAGCCATGGGTCTAGTGGAACGTCCTATGAGCCAAACGGATCCTTTTGTATTAAACCTGGTTCTAGATAAGTATAGCATAACATTAAATGGTATAATAGATACAGGGAGTCCAATATCATTGATATCAGAAAATTTTGTAAAGGCAGAAGATATTATTTCTTCTACTAATATTGAATCTTATTCAGGTATAAATAAATCTCCTTTAAAAGTGTTAGGGTTTTTTTATGACACAGTTATTTTTGATGACATATCAGTAAATTTAAAATTTTATGTTGTTGAGAAAGATTCTTTTAGTTGGAATCTACTTTTGGGTCGAGATTTTATAAACAATGAATCCATAGAAAATATAAGTTTTTCAAATGGTTCTTTTAAAATAAATAAAAACTCTTGTGTACAAACAGAGGAGGACTATCAGTTTCCTTTTACAGATGTTTTGTTTATTAACGATATGGTAAATTTAGATGCAGACTTGAATATTAATTATTGTTTACCTTTTGAAATAACTACTAGTGTTCAAACTTTATTGAAGTCATATTACTTTGATTATGATAAACCATTAAAACCACAGTGTGATTTCAAAGCACAGCTTACTTTAACTAAAAATGAACCTTTTAGTATCAGACCACGTAGACTATCTTATGCAGAGAAAAAGTCATTGGATGAAATTCTTGCTAATTTATTAGAAAATAATGTCATTAGGGAAAGTGATTCACCTTTCTGTTCACCAGTAGTATTAACCAAGAAGAAGTCAAATGAATATCGAATGTGTGTAGACTATCGTACTTTAAATAAATATCTTATTAGAGATCAATTTCCCTTGCCGCTAATAGATGATCATTTAGACAGGTTAAAGAATAAGAAATATTTCTCTAAATTGGATTTGAAAAATGCTTTTTACCATGTTCCTTTAGATGAAAGTTGTACTAAGTATACTTCATTCGTTACACCTTCAGGTCAGTATGAATTTCTTAAATTACCGTTTGGTTTGAGCTCAAGTCCCTCTATTTTTGCAAGGTTTGTTAATAAAATTTTTAAAGATTTGTGCCAACAAGGAAATGTTTTAATATATTTTGATGACATATTAATTGCTACTCAGACTATCGAAGAAAATCTAGAAGTGTTAAGAGAAGTTTTAATATTAGTTAGCCAGAATTTACTTGAGTTACGACTAGATAAATGTTCATTTTTGAAAACAGAAATAGATTTTCTGGGTTACAGGATTAATGAAAATGGTATATGTCCTAATAAAGATAATGTGAAAGCTATTGCAGAGTATCCAGTTCCTACAGATACCAAGCAGGTGCATAGATTCTTAGGCCTTGCCAGTTACTTTAGACGTTTTATACAGAACTTCTCTATCATCGCCAAGCCGTTATATGACCTATTACGAAAAAATGTCAAATTTGAATTTACAATGACACATTTACAAGCTTTTGAGAATTTGAAGTCAAAACTGACATCAGAACCTATTTTAGCAGTTTATGATCCGAGTAGGGAAACAGAACTACACTGTGATGCAAGCCAAGTAGGCTATGGATCAATTTTACTTCAGAAACAAAGTGATGACAAATTTCACCCAGTGTTTTTCTTTAGCAAGAGAACAACTGACTATGAGTCTCGCTACCATAGCTACGAACTTGAATGCTTGAGTATTGTGTATGCACTTAAACGGTTTCATGTTTATCTACAGGGAATCCCTTTCAAAATAGTTACAGATTGTGACAGTTTTCGCTTAAACCATGAGTAAAAAGGATATAATTCCAAGGATTATGAGATGGTGTTTGTTATTGCAAAATTATGATTACTCTATTGAGCACAGAGTAAATACAAGAATGCAACATGTAGATGCCTTAAGCAGAGTGAGTTATGTACTGGTATTAGAAGGAAATACTATTGAACAAACTTTGGCTTTAAAACAGTCCAAGGATACAGTTATTTCAGATCTTCGAAAAAAGACTTGAGGAGACAGATCATCCTTTCTTTGAATTAAGAAATGGGTTAGTATATAGAAAACTGAAAGATAACATTGCATTTTATGTACCAGAGAGTATGGAGTCAGCAGTTATCTATCACTATCATAATGAATTGGGTCATTTCGGAACAGACAAAACATTTGAAATTATTTCCAAGACATATTGGTTTCCAAAATTAAAATTTAAGATTGGAAATCATATTCAAAATTGCTTAAAGTGTATTGAATTCAATCCTAAAAGTGGCAAATCAGAAGGATATCTACATAGTATACCTAAGGGCAACTTACCTTTTGAAATGCTTCATATTGATCACTATGGGCCATTAGCTCCTTTTAATAAGAATAAATATATATTTGAAGTTGTTGATGGGTTTACTAAATTTATTAAGTTCTATCCTTGCAAATCAACAAATACAGGAGAAGTAATTAAATATTTAACTGAACATTTTGCCAATTATAGTGTACCGAGCGTTATCAGTTCAGACAGAGGATCTTGTTTTACCTCTCATGATTTTAAGAAATTTTTGGAGGAGTATACAATCAAACACATACTGATTGCAAGTGGTTGTCCGAGAGCCAATGGGCAAATAGAACGCATGAACAGGTTATTGACACCTCTTCTAGCAAAGATAACCGATGAAAAACAAATCAACTGGCCAAATGCATTACATGAAGTGGAATTCTGCATCAATAATACAATAAACAGATCAACAGGAGAAACCCCAGCTAAGTTACTTTTTGGAAGAGATCAAATAGGAAAGATTAGGGATAATTTAAGAGAAGCATTACAAGATATTGATAAGGAAGAACGGGATTTAGAAATGATTCGAACTAAGGCAGAAGCACAAATAATTAAGGCACAAAATGTAAATGAACAGTATTATAACAAGAAGCATAAGGAGGCTCAAAAGTTTAAGGTGGGGCAATATGTTATGATTTCCAACGTAGACACAACCCCTGGAGTAGCTAAAAAACTTATACCAAAATTTAGAGGACCGTATGAGATTGTGAAAGAGCTACCAAATGATAGGTATATTGTGAATGATATTGTTGGGTTCCAAACAACACAAGTACCATATGAGGGAATTATAGACAGTAGTAGGATTAGAGCTTATGATAAATAATCAATTTCATTATTAGTTAGGGTTAAAATAATTATGTTTAATTTTTTATTCAATTATGTTTATGCTTATTTATAATCCATTACTTGTACCATTACATCGAGACAGTTAGGGTGTGTTATGGATATTATGATTTCCATTTGTACCCCTATGGACACTTCAATCCATTATGTATGTTATGTCGTGCTTATTTAAACTATTATGAATGTTATGCCTTGCTTATTTAAACCATTATGAATTATGATTATTATGATTTGTTTATTTAACTCATTATGAATTATTATTATTATTACTGTATGTTTTAAACTTTAAAGGAAAATGTTCATTTCAAATATCCATTATGTTATGTCTTATGAAAGTCGTGAATGTTAAATATCTTAGTTATGTAATTAATATACTGTAATATTAGGTTGATCGAGGACGATCAGACGTGTCAGGATGGCCGAACTGTAGTCTTATTTGAATTTCGCGCCATTGACAGATCTGATTGTCACTCAATTTGAAAAAAAGAAGATAACCACACACTTTATGTTTAGACTTGACACTTGTGATTATGAATTATGGCCATCTGAATGTTATGAAAACTGTTATGTCGAATTATGTACAATTAGTGTTTCTTTCCGCTAAATAAACTTAAGAAAACTAGAACAATATTATTTATTAACGGAGCCTACATGTTCATAAGCATATTATTGGTGTTTGTTAAAAAATAATAATCTTTTTCACAGATGAGTCCTTCTCTGACTATAATAAATTCCACGCCACACTTGTTTTTCATTGCTGATCCCTTCCTAGTCTATGCTTTGGAAACAATAAATTGACAATCCTATCAAATTTTGAGTATATGTAAGTAAATAAACTTTTAAATTACATATTGCGAAAAATAGGAGTAATTTTTAATTCAGTTACCTTTGAATAAACAAATTTTGAATCTTCTAAATTATCTTCCTGTGAAAATATGTCTGAAGCACCTAATGGACCCTCTAGACCTTCACTTGCCCATGTGTCAGCTAATCTTTGAAAATCATGTTGTCTCTGTTCCTGTGACATTATTTCCGCCCAAACATTTTCATTATTATATACTTCCTAAAATTAATACCATACAAAGAATAGAATAGCATTATAATAGCCACGAAAATAGGTAATAGCTGATGAGATATACCATATTTCAATAGAATCACATTTTTGTTCTTTTAAAACACTTTTTAATACCTAAAACGCTATATTTTAAACATTTATACACTAAACATACAATTATTTTATTATTATAATTATTGTATTAAACTAAATCCAATAGAGTTGCTTTGGTCTCAAGTGAAATATCCCGAAGTAAGAAAAAATTTAACTCCAAAATTCTATAGGACTGTGTTACAACTAATAGTTTCAGAATCTCTCAAATATAGGAGAAACCAAGAAATCTGAAATAATTACTCGAGCACACTTCTGTGCAAATACTTGGAGATGGAAACTGACATTTCACACCCAGAAAACAGAAGAATGGACTGCTTAAGGGATAAGTGCTAGCTCCTCTGCTGTTTAGCCTATACTGCACATCGAGAAAGTTTTGCTAGGCTGATGACTGGCCTGGCCAATGTTGTTTTCAAAGAAATATGGACTGATGAGCCGTCAACCCAAAACCCACACCTAAAAGTGATTTTTCTGTGATGTATTGGATGCTCTTGGATCTCATCTGGATTAATATCATCCCAAATCAACAATTCTGTTTGTTGATGAATCCATTGTTCCAAAATGAACCTAACCTCCTGAATAGCAGGACCAGGTTTTTCTGTATGAGTTGTCTCTGGTAGACGCTGAAGACCAGTTTTAAGTGTAACTTCAATAAGTCAAGAAGACAAGAAGAAACACTCAAGAGGTTAAGTCAATACTGAAATAATTGGAAGACTTGACACATCCAATGATTGGATGAAAGAAGTCTAACGCTAAAAGTTTTCAAATAAAGGTGTACCCCTAGAAATTGATGAGTGAAGATAAAAATGAAGTAAAATATAAGTAAGCGTAAGCACAGGTAAATGCTGGATAAAATTTGTGTTAAAATTGAACAATTCAGCTGTACATCAAGTGAAACAACAATAGAGCATGGCATACAATATCTATTTAAAAAAATTCTTCTTTGTGGTTCACACAGGAAAGGAAAAAGACAATCCTATCAGCGACCCAATTATTCAGATAAAGGCATTAGAGCGTAATAAAAAAAAGAGAATGGAAATCGCAGAAATTACGGTTACAGAAGAAAATTTTTTATATGAATTCTCATATTTCATTGTATCAGAAAAGATATCTCTTCAGCAAGTATATGCCATTGATGAGTCAAAACTAATTTTAAAGTATTGCCAAACAAAAGTTTTGCCTCCAAAGAGGAATAATCTGCCTGAAAATTTAAAATGAACAGAAAATGCTTTACAATTTGGCATGCAGCAAGGCTTTGGATACTCATATATTATCCCTGATGGTTATTGTGAAATAACTGCTGCTTACAGGTGCAGCACAGATGAAAGACCAGCAGTGCAGTCAAAAAATCTCTTGATATTAAAAATCAGAAGAAACCTGCCTCCAAAAATAGATGACAATGATCATCAGGAACTAAATGAACTACATTATTTCAATGGTTGATCAGAATCAAGATCAAAAGGTTCTTGAGAGTGACAAAGAATACATCCCAACAACATGCTGATGCTGCTAGTATATTTAAAAAATACCTTTGTTAGAAAGTTAATTAATATTTCACATGTTCACGAAGTGCTCTAATTGTAAAAAAATATTACTGTATATCTTCGTTTTTTTGTAGTTTATAATGCAACGAAAATATAAAATACCAAAGCCCTTGTTCCCTTTTTTTTAGTTTTCATGTAGATTAAAGTTTTATTTTTATGTACATGTGCTTCTTTGTAAGTAAATAAATAAATATAAATTATAGAAACATTTAAAAATTACGATTTTTATTTAAAACAAAAACAAAAGTCATATTGCTGAAGGGTGCCACAACAGTATCATATATAAAGACCAAATATAGCAACTGGCCCGTCAGGCCATATGTTTTAAGATACCATTGATATAAATGAATATAACGAGCTCAACGCTGCTTCATATAAAGAAATGTTTTGACGCTACATATGAGTCCACTTTGGTATCACGCAGCAATAAGGTCCCAGAAATTGATGAGATCATGTTGGTCTCATCTGGCACTCAACGTGTTAAACCACCTCATCCCCCTTTAAGTTCATGTAATCTTCTATGATATGTATATACTAAATGATAATTTCTTATATTTTTCCTTTACAAATTATGTTGAATTGAGTTTGACTATTATTTTGCAGCATCCTTACATTCACATAAATATATCAGCAGTTTAATAAAGAAACTTATTTGTTGTTAGTTTGGTATGTATAATTAACTAAGATTGCCAATTCAATAAGATATATAATTAGAATGCAAAAATGATTTATGGCAATGTTTCAATAAATTTTTTTTGGATTTTATATTACCTCCTGGAAAATTTTAGTTATTTTGTTTGTATGGTAATTAAAGGATGTTCTAAAAGTCTAATGAATTATTTTTTATCATAATACTAACTAAGAACCTTGATAAAATTGCTTTCCATTGGCAAGGTCACTAGATTTCTTGACAACATTAATGGTGCAGATAACCCATTGTTTATATATATCATTTATGGAAAATTAATTGCATAATCCAATAGATTACCCTTTAAAATATAACCTTACATTAAATCGCTTTCCGTCTTCAATATATTGAAGGGCCCAGGCATTGTCATGTAGCTGATCTTTGACTGTTGAAGCAGGAATGGGTGGTAAAGCTGACCTTTGAGATTCAATTTCGTGCATTTCCCTCATCAGATCTACAAGTTAAATTACTTAGCAAAACAAAATTAAGGTTGACTGTAAAGTTTACCATCCATCCTAAAACTTTGAGGGATGGCTCTGGTTTCCTGGAGAAATTGTTCAACCAATTGATCTGAACTACTTTGAAAAACTTGCCCATGATTATCAGAAAATGTGTGATCACGGGTAATGTGGGAAGTTAATTTTGTTAAGGGGTTCGCTTGACCACATTCTGCTTCAGTTAGGGGTCTAAATGCCATCTTTGTAACTACTTGAACTTTGATAACTCTCACTCTCACAAATTTAATCAAAATATTACATGTGGAAGTTAACTATAGACTAAAATGACGTTTCTTTCCTCTTGCCCCTTGATAAGCAATATATGTCAACAAATACTTGTCAAACATATGTTCCGATTTCCATACATCACTCGCCAGGAAATAACACATTTCTATTGGCTTACAGTTGACATTCAGCAGACGCACACCAATAGAAACGTAGAAATATCCCCTAAAGGTATAATTATCTACACGAATAATATGTAGCTTATTGGCAATTTAAAAAATTTAGAATTTTGGCGGTGTTTTTAAAAACAGCATTATCTCTCTTTTTCGTTTAAAGATCAAATACATCCACATTTATTTAATATAAATTTAGTAAGTCGCCTTTTTTATATTCGTCAAATATTTAAACATGTTTAAGTGGTTGAGAGAAAATATACATAACAATTATAGAGATACTTCTAATCTACGTAAAGTGAATCTACTGGGTCTTAATATAGGTAAAAGCATTTTAAACTTTGATAGTATACAAGGCAACTATCGAACACAGTGATTAATTAAATCTTGCCCAACTACTTTCGATCAATAGATCATCTTCAGGGGCATTTCGTCAGTTGTGGCCTATCCGACATGAGTAGAATGTCATAAATGTAAATTTGGACATAACAATACAATACACAAAGACAAACAAACACTTTAAAATTTTTAAAAGGAGAAGCTACATGTTACATAGAAACCGGAGACAGAATCAGTTTTTGAGTGAAACTTTTTTCTGTCAGTGAGTGAAACTCTTTTCTGTCTCCGGTTTCTATGTAACATGTAGCTTCTCCTTTTAAAATTTTTAAAGTGTTTGTTTGTCTTTGTGTATCGTATTGTTATGTCCAAATTTACATTTATGACATTCTACTCATGTCGGATAGGCCACAACTGACGAAATGCCCCTGAAGATGATTTATTGATCAAAAGTACTTGGGCAAGATTTAATTAATCACTGTGTTCGATAGTTGCCTTGTATACTATCAAAGTTTAATTATTCGAACATTCAACCTTATATTGACATTGAAAAGCATTTTAGGCGAGGCAATGAAGCAATAAAAAGACCAAAACCTACCAAATTTTTGCAGTAGTATGGATCTCGCTACTTCTGCAGTTCGATCGTATGGTTGTCAGAAAATTTTCTGAACAAAAATAATGTGGAAATGAAAATTGCATTATTGAACAAGGAAAATGAATTTTCCAATAGTGCATCTCGATGTGATAAAAAATGATAAATTTGTGATTCGGAAATACTCAGGTTTTTGGGAAAAAAAGTTTCATTGAGATCTATCCTACTACCAAAATTTGGTAGGTTTATTGCATCATTGCCTCACCTATTTCTAAAATAGATAATACTGTTAGAATCGCATACAGTATCGAATAGAAAAGCCTCTCCTCAATTCAACTAATGCTTTGCAATCAAAAATCGATATCTTCAGCTCCCCAAAATAGTTAAACAACAGATTAAAAGTCTTACTTAAGTAATTTTGCTTTATGTCATGTTTCCTCAATGATATTATTCTTACTTATATAGGATACATGAAACCTTAGACCAAGAACAAGAGGTTAAATGTAGAATAGAACAGGAAAGAAACACCTTAAAGATGCGACAGTTACTCACTACCCGTAATCTTGATTTGTCCCTACGATACCGCATGATAAAGTGTTACCACGCCGTAGAAGCTTGGACATTAACAGTCAGCTCGTTACGACGTTTAAGGAAAGCCCAAAATAGGGAAGACTTTGCAGAGGTCATCGCCAACCTTCGCTAAGAAGACGGCACCCAAAGAAGATATAGGTCTAATACATTAATAAAGATTTGTATTTGTTTGTATTTATTATGTAAAATTCTTTTGTAAAAGTTTTTGTTTCACCTTTCATTTTTGAAACTTTTTATTTTGGGAAATGGTTTGTCTATTAATAAATAAATGTATAAAAAAGACTTATTTAAAACGCTTTAATAAACATTCAAATAGTTATATATATACATAGATGTTGCGTTTCAGTTTATTTGAGCCTCTCCCATTCCGCTACACGTGTATTTCAAGGTTTACCAATCATCAGGAAGATGCCAGGTGTGAACACTGAACTGAACTAAAGCTTACCGTCTAGTTGGCTATTATTACCAATATATTCTAATAACGACCTCTAACGAGGAAAATCGCTATCGACCCTGATTAAAATAATTCTTATAGTACTCCCCTGATATGTAAAAATACCATATCTACTATTTAAGTTTTTTTTTTAATTTTAGATAATACCTCATTATAGCATTCCTTAAAAAGAAGTAATAGTTGTATTGATGACACAATAAAAATTATATAAGAATTCACATATCTTGTTTTATCAAAAATTTTGTAAAGTGGACATTTTTACATAATAGGGTAATAAATATTTCTACATTTTACATTGAACTAGATCTATAACATAGTATTTTTAAAGGAATATATTGTAAAAAGGTTTGTGAAGCAAATGTTGTTGGGAAGTAGTTTTCGAGAAATAACTTTTTTTTAAGTTTTTTTTTTAACTACCATATCTTAAATGTTCCTGAACAGCAGAAAATGAAATGATATGGGAATATTATTCTCACATTGGGTCCTTTATAATCCAAATCTAAGCTCAAAATAGCGTAAGACTAGTACAAAATATTACTTAACATTCAGTGCTCTATTTAACTTTTCTTTTCATCAAAATTTTGGTACATCCAACTGAAAAATGATTCTCTCGTACACCATTTCAGTTGAGAGAAGTTTGTTTCTGTCCCGTACGGTAATACTGGCTAATAAACACTTATTACATATTTTTATTACGATTCTACTCTACAAAATTAGATGTAATGCTCTAATTATATTTCTTCCTTTTTCTATCTAGACTAATTTTTCTAAAACATACTACATTACTGGAATGTTTATTGGAAAAATAACTATAGTAAGATAATGTTATAGTTATTTGTAGAGATATTTTTAGCGAGTATTATTACTAAATTATTTCTTTGATTTATATGTTCTTTTAATGTTTTTTTTTTCAAAATTAGAATCTTATCACATATATCTCCCTTATAGTTATACCCTAGTGTGTTTTTATCCATTCAATATAACAATTTCATTTCTTTTGTTACTAAATATTGTTTTGTTGTTGAATTAGAATACAGTTGGTATTAAAAAGAATTAAATAAACAAGAAACATGAAAATGAATTAACCACATGCAAGTTCATTGGGAAGTCATAATACAAATCAACTCAGAGAAGAACACTGGAGGGATAATAAGTTTAAATCAAAATGTAGGTAATGTCTTTTCAATTTTAAAAAATACCTACAACCAAACTCTTGAAATATCCTGTCACTCTTACTATAGTAGCTAAGTTACAGATTGGAATAAGTTAAGTACATAAGTTCTATTCTACACTATTCAGTACATTTAATACTTTTGAAAAGACAACCGATCAATCTTCAAAGAAGACATATTCATGGTTTTTATATAAATATTGTGGCCAGTGCTTCTCCAGTTTTAGCAAAAAAATTATTATCTTTGTTGCTTTCTTCATTCCAAGATTGAATCATCAAAATAAACGCATTGTAGAGAGAATATATCATATAGATTATTAACGCTAGAACTAGAATTATTAAGGCTCCCCCTATTAGATAGGAGCCATCTGTTTGAGCTTTCAGCTGTACTAATTGTACTTGATATGATTCTAATAATTTGCGCGCTTCCATTAATTCCCGTTTAAGCTCTTTTTGTTTAACTTTTGGTAGAAAGTGATTTTTTAGTTTTTTCTCTAGGAAGCGCACTCTGTCATTTACTGCTTTTACAGCTTCATCTGTTTGAGGAATCTACAAATAAAATATGTAGCAATAAGATAGGTATCTTTTCAAACACATAATAGTGCTACTGTTAAAAATATTTTTACCTCCGTCATTATTTTGTTTTTTTTTATATATTAAAATTTATTTTTTCGCGATATCAATGAAACATTATTTGATCAATCAGTCTTTAAAAGTTTATTAATTATCATAAGAAATTCTGTTAGTAAAATCTTTTGTGCTTAATCGTTAACATTTTTGGGCCTTACAAATATTGTTTAAGTGTCACAAAATTGTTTATAAATCACCAAAACACTGATAAAAATGTATAAACAAAAGAGTATAATGAACTTCAAAGTTTGGTGTTGTATGTCAAATACAGAGTACAATGAGTACATAGCTCTCTAAAAAGGTAAGTAGGACAGAAAGATTTGGGAGAGAGTTTCTAGCGCCAAATGCGGACGGGCCGAAACTAATTTCATTTGGCGGCACATTTAAACCTGAGGTTCTGAATTTTAGGCGGCAAATTCAAAAAATATGCTCTGAATTTTAGGCGGCAATATTCAAAAAATATGCTCTGAATTTTAGGCGGCAAAATTCAAAAAACATGTTTTTAATGGAAAATAAATATAGCCATAAAATAAGAAATAAAAACTTATTCTGTCCCAAAAATTATTTTCTCTCTGTCCAACAATAAGAATATACTTACGCCCTTTTATATGTAAATATATAATAACATTATATATTATACGTCATTGGCAAAACTAGTGAAACATGGCAACAGCACTTACAACATACATCAACGTCATACGCATAGATACGCATAGGCCACGGTTCGTAGACTTACTTACTGACTTACTATACTCTGTTTTTTAACCAGGAGGAGTAAACCAAAAAGACAGATTCACACCCAAGAAAGTTACTAGAAAAGTCACCAAATACATCTTCTTTTTTGTTGATTATCTCGGCCTTGCGGTAATCGAATAATCAATATCGGACAACCTTCCACGTCAATTCTAACCTAACTTTGTTAATTTATGTTTGAATTATAATTTTTTAAATTCATTTCCAATATATATTACAATTATTACAATAAAAACAGGACGTTTTTCACATTTTTCAAATTCATCTAAGTTTGATTTTTCACATAAATTTGTCTTTTAATTTGCAAATAGATCTAATAAGTATGCAACAAAGTTATGCAAATGCATGTATTAAAAAGTTAGAGACAGTTCAAAGATTTCTGAAATACTGTTCTTTTAAACTGCGTAGACCATATTTTTATTCTGATGTGATTAATTTCTTGAATATAGGTTTTTTTTTTCTTACCAGAAGAGTGAACTTTGACTTTGATCATTATTTTTAAGCTTAATAATCCAAACTCCTGAATTGCTTCAGTCAATTTGTTTTACATACTCCTTCCCGTTCACTGCTTTAAAATTCACTTCATATTTCCCATCACAGAATAAATTATGGTTCAAATATAGGTGTGGTATTTTGGTAATCAGTTACCTCATTAAATAGATTTGTTTAACTTATGTATCAATATCTTTAGGTTATATTTGAAGCACTATAATGCGAAAAGATACTTTGTATAAATAAGTGTGTACTTCCAATTTTTTAATGCTGGATTCTTGAGTTTGTAACATTTGTCATCAATAAATAAAATTGACTAAAATTAACAAATTCAATCTATTATGTTACATTCAAGCATAATTTTGCAGTTTTCTTGTGTTTATCTACAACCAGGAAGAACAAAACCAACTGCATCAATGCAATCAAACTAAAACACAATATTACTTTACTAATGTTCTTTTATTGTGATGAAAACAAATGAAAATGCTTCTTAACAATACTTTAAACAATATTTAGTATACCTAAATATCATCTAGAAAAATATCACATTAAATAATATTCGCATATCACCAGTCTGCTTACATTCTTTAATTGTTTGGTTAATAGTTGAATTCGCAACACCTAAAATTAGCACATTACTTTAGTAAGTTTTGATTTTAATAATAACTATTCTGCAAAACTAACCTGCTGCCTGTTTTACTTTTGCTACCGTGGCTGTTATTTTCAATCCAGAATTATCAATTTTCATTTTTTTATACATGTTTATAAAACATTGTTTCTTATTTGTTGATAAATGACCCAAATCTACTCGGCGTTTTTAAGGTGGAGAAGAATAATTACCACTAGTACTTGGCATTGAATCCATATTGTTATCTTAATAACATTAAATAGTTCTAAAAAGAACTGTTCTTTATATAAATGCAAACGAAAAATCTATGAATGTAAGGAATAACGCAGAAAATATAAAAAATCGTCGATATAAATTTTGAATTTTAAAATTTCACAAATGTCATTAGTGTCAATATGTCATAATTTAGTGGAGTAAACTTGCCTGCGGTTGGACCAATTACAAACAAGAATTACGGCGCGGAAAATTTGAATTACTCCTCCTGGTTAAAAAACAGACTATAGTAAGTCTAGGAACCGTGCGCATAGGCCTCTTGCTATGTCATACTCCATTAATAAACGTGACTAGTAGCGCCGTCGCCAATTCAAACAGCTGGGCCCATGCAATTCAATCTCCCCATTTGTCCTATTTCATCTACACTACTACTTGTTATTTATACTGTGGTCAAAGTGAAATATTTTATAGCTTATCACAGAACACACACCAATAAAAACAAAGCAGCGTCTAGACACGGTTGTCAGACTTGAATAAATCTTTAGAAAATATTAGTTATTGAAATAGTTTAGTTATAAAAGGTTTGTTCCTACAGAAGTTTCAAACTGTCGCCGACTGTCAGACGCATGCGCAATAATAATTTCGCCGTTCCAACAAGATTTTCTCTGATACCTTGTCAACAAAGTACACTGTTCCATGAAATATAAAACCAGTTTGAAATTAGTTCCTGACAGTTTGAAAAGTTTCCGAACTTTTTGCAAACTGGTAATCACAGATATGCGCAATTAGTCGAATTTTGATTTACTCACACCTACACTGTTTATTTTTAATTTTAAATAGGTACCTTTGTTTTGGTAATTTTGTTGTTTTAAGTACATACATAATATTGTATTTTAGTGTTTTATACTTTTGATATTATAATTTATAAAACAATGAGTGACAGTGAATATTCGTCATTATCCTCTATGAGCGACTCCAGTGATGACTTGGAAGAAATTGTATTGGAAGATAGAATTCGCCCTAAAAATAGAAACTATTTTGAAACAACTGTTTCCCAATACAATGAAACAGAGTTTAAGGAGCATTTTCGAATAAGTCGGCATGTTACTGAGTCCATAGCTGAACAGTTTCAAAATAGTGACTACTATAAAATACATGCAGGACCATATGGTAAATTGTCAGCAATGCAACAAGTTTTAATTTTTTTATGGTATATAGGCCATCAAACGGCTAGTTTTAGAGATGTTGCAGACCGCTTCAACATTACAATAAGTTCTATTGTCTAGAGTGATACGAAAAGTGACTTACTTTTTGAGCTACTGCTCAAGTCATATAATAAAAATGGCCAACCGATGAAGAAAAAGTTAAAATTGAGAATGTCTTTCGTACGAATGGTTTCTTAGGTGTAATTGGGATAATTGATGGTACACATATCAAGATTGACAAACCAAAGGATGATCCAGATTCTTACATAAATAGAAAAGGATTTTATTCGATTCAGGTAATTTTCTTTACTGTACAGTAATAAAATGTATTTATTCTATGTTATGTTTTAGTTACAATTGGTATGTGACCATGAATTACAAATCAGAGACATATTTATTGGTTACCCGGGCTCTGTACATGATAGTCGAGTATTCCGCAGTTCTCCATTGTCTCAGACACTACAAGAAAAATGTGGAAATTATTATATATTAGGAGACAGTGGATATCCTGTATTGCCCAATTTATTAACACCCTTTAGAGACCGGGGGCAGTTAAGTAGGGCCCAAATAAATTATAATTCAAAACTGTGTGCTAACCGGTACTTAGTAGAGCATTGCATAGGAGTCCTCAAACAAAAATTTAGGCAGTTATACCATCTTAAATTACGCTCTATAGCTGATTGTGTACATTTAATAAGAGCAAGTTGTGTTTTGCATAATATTTCATTAAATGATGAATTTTTATATGAAAACAATCCTGCAGGCAATAATGAAGCAGCACCTGATTTACAGTTGGACAATAATGATCCTGATGATGAACCTGATGACAGAAATGGTGCTGCAGTTCGAAATCAAATTTTAAATTTGTTAGAACAATAAAAATTTTAAAATACTTTATTTTTTAATTATTATGATTTTTACAGTTAAAGTAACAAAATATTTATTCAGAAAAACAATACTATACATATAAATTAATCTTATGGATTTTCCCTAAGTTTGTTTTTGCTTTTCAAGTAGTTGGTTCTGCTTCTCAAGTAATTGGTTTTGCTTCTCAAGTAATAGATTTCGCCTTTTTATCTCTTCTAGTTTTTCTCTATGAACCACTAGCTTATCCCTTTCAATACTGAGCCTTTCCTTATAATATTCTGCTCTCTCTATTCTCATATTTTCCAATATTCTATTTCTATTTAGAATTGGATGCTTTGTATTGGTATTAGGTGCAGATGTAGCGGTGTGGGTAACTGGAACTGGGCTGTCAGTATTCTCTACTTCTTGAGTTTCAGTCTCCTTTAGAACTACATCTGAAGTCAACGACACATTTTCAATAACTTTTGTAGCAGATAGAAGTATCTCGGGATGAATATTTCGTTTTTTTTTGAATATACTGTCCATTTCATCTTTGAATTCAAAAAATTTTCGTCCTCTACCTGTTTTATTCTGATTATCTACGAACTTTTTGTATCCCCTTTCCAATACACGCCATTTATTTTCACAATGCGACGGGGACACATTTATATGTAAATTTTTATTTATTTCCTTGGCTATAATCTCCCATAATTTTTTTAAATTTCTTATTTGGAGAGTTCCAACCTTAGGTTTATATTTCTTATATAAATCTATTAATACTTTAGACTGATTGGTGGTCCAGACCACATAGTCTACAGTTTTAACACTACTATCTTCAACATGGTTTTCATGGTAAATAATAATTTCTTCCATATCTAAAACAAATTAGTATTTATTATAGGTAACTGCATGATAATAATAATTATAAAGATTTACCTTCCTCATTGTTTTCCATTTTAAAGAAGAAACAATTTACTTTGTTACAGCGAATAAAATAACACAAAATTTGTTTATTTAATATAGGCAACTTGCCAGCTCGATAGGATATTGTTCCAACAAAAATCACAAACTAGTTCGCGGCTGGTTAAATTCGCACATGCGTATTGTGCAGCAGTCAGAAACTGCCCTGAACTAGTTTCTGATTCTTTGTAGGAACAAACCTAAAATTTATTTTTATCTCATTACTTATTGTCATTTTACATCTTCATTTATATTTTAATTATTATCGCCAAAAGATATGTAGATATCTAAAAAAATTCTTCAATCATTAAAGAAACACAAAAATAGAAATGATACTATTTTTTTTATCGGTATATAGATGAAGTAAAAGGAAGAAATAAAAAAGAATAAAAACTAAATGACCAACTGTAATTACCGCATTCACCTGATGCTTTGGTCGTTGCTATCTCTTCCATAGCCATAATAACATGATTTTCAATACGTTTCCAAATTCTCCTATTCATAATAATATATCTAGAACAACAATATCTTAATATATTGTTGTTCTAGATTTATGCGTCTTTGGCTATACTTGAAGTACTTCTTGTCTTGATAAAACTAGATAAGAAACTAAATAAATTAATAATCAGCAATAAATCAATCGTGTTTTCAGATATTTAGGAACTTTTACCAGAAGTGGCAACTCTGCACCAAAACAAATTTATTGCACACGAAAGTAAATGCACAATGCACGGTAAATGTTTAATCTAGCAAATCTTAGAAGTTGTAGCAGTAATCTTAAAAGTTGTCGTATTTTAATATTATTATTAAATTATTTTAACAAAGCACATTTAAATATTGAATCTCAAAATTGTGTGACAATTGACAACGTGAGAGTAAAGAGTACCAACTACTGTATTATGAAATTGTCAATAATCAATGGCATTTAAATAAACAAAATTGTTGTCATTTCTATTTCCAATCATGGGGTGCTGCGGTTCTAAAGATGAAAGTAGAAGTGAAGGAGTTACTGAACGAAAATGTACCGACGTTTTCTGGTTGATTTTGTTTATCCTTTTTTGGTTTTTGATGGTAAAGTTGTTGTCATATTTTATTAACTAACGCTTTTTCATTAACAAAGAACTTCATATGTATTCTCACAATTTTTGCATGTAAAATAAATATAAAACTAGGGTAAAAGTAGTTGATGCTTGTTATAGGTATATTTTAAATGTTTTAATATTTTTACTTAATTTTATTGGCCATTAAAAAAATTGGGTCATTTAAGTATTGCATTAATATTGCATGGGAATATCTTGCAATTTTCAATGAAAATATTTATACGAGGTGTGCATGCTAATGTAATGATTGTTTTGTAATTGACTTAAAATATTTTTTGGAGGACAAATAGATTTTATTAGAAGACTAAAAATTTGCATAGACAATATTTTATCAAGCAACAAGTAATAGGTACTTTGAGTAGTCATGAATACAATAATATGTTCTTAATAACATAGAGTATAGAAAAAGAGGTAAAAACGGTGTACATCAAGCCCACATTGATTTGAAATCACAGTAAAGGTATTGTCACAGCAATTTAAGACTGGTGAAGTACATATGTATATTGGGCTTAACAATCCAATATGATAACAATAATTATTACTGCAATGCTTGAAAATAAAAAGAATATGCATGTGTCAAAGAAAACCTGCAGGTACTAGTTACTAATGCTAGTAGACAATTGGAGCACTATGAGAGTTGATCTGCCATTATGATGAACTGGTGTAAATTCAGACTAACCACCAATGCTTAAATAGCTGCATATTTATTTGCAGCAAGGAATGGAAGAAAAACTTAGAGGCAGTAGCAAATAATGCTATTAGAAGAAGCCTGAAGATTAAAAGAGAAACAATTAAAAGTATGAGATTTAAGTGACAGATCAACTGGAGAAAAGAAATATCAAGTTAGGAGACTAAATTTAGAGGACAATAAAAACAAAATGAAAAGAGAAATATTCTTAATATTAACTGCAAAGGAACTAAGATCAGTTCTAAAGGAGTAAAACAGTTAAGAGGAATTAAGGCACACTTTGATGTGGATATATTGAAACAAGAAAGTTAAATGAAAATTTTAATAAAAAATCTTAGTATAGTAAATGATAATATATTGGATCAGTCATTCAAATACATATGTATTTATTAGTTAGACAATGTCAGCAGGGTAGAGAGCATAAACAACACTTTTTAACAAGAAAAAACTGCAATATCTGAATATGAAGATACACAAAGAAACTATCAAACTGGTGTTATCATGTAACATGGAAAATACCAATATTACTATGGTAAATTATGAAAAACAAATAAAGAGATATAGTAGATTGATGTGTAAGGAATTTAAGAATTTCTTGGTTATTCTCCTGATTTAGACAATCAATATATTAAAGACAAAGAATATGACCTTATGAATAAAATTATTTGTTTCTTTATTTTATAAAGTTATAAAAAAATATTAAAGTTATAAAAAATAAGAGACCTGTAATTTTTTTATATTCACTTTCTAAACATAAATTTAAGTTACAGGCTGATTCACTTAATTCTATCATAGTTCATAATCTTTATTTTTAATAGAACACCCTTTGTATTTTTATATTTTTAAAAGCTGCTGAACAACCTGATCTATGGACTATATCATAGGATCTGTTATGAATAATACAGGGAGAAATTTTGAAATGTTACAGTGCGGAAACCACTTATTGAATGAAATTGTTTGTGGGCTTTATTTAGAACATAAATTTTAAAGTCTAGCATAGTCCAACATTTTAATTTTTAATGAAACACCCTGTATATTTTAATATTCTTATAAACTACTTAACAACCTCATCTGAAATAAGTTATATTATGAAGAGACTAAATAATAATGTATCATGCTTTAAATAATGACATTTTTTAAAATTAGCTACTTAAATACAGACATCAATTTTCCAAACTAAATATCAATTATTTCAAAATTTCACCTTGTATTATTCATAATAGATCTTACATAATTTTCCTTAAGAAGTTTCTTAAAATCAGGTTGTTAAGGATCTTTAAAAGCATAGAAATATATAGGGTGTTTCATTAAAAATAAAGATGATGGACTATGTTAGACTTTGTGAGTCACTCTGTACATTTAAATTTATATTTAGAAAGTAGACATTTAAATTTAAAAGTTGATGGGTCCCACGTTTTTTTTAATTTTCTAGAATAATGACACAAAATAATTATATTCCATAAGTGGTTTCTGGAGTATAAAAAAAATGTTGCTTTTCTGGAGTTTGAAAGAGGTATTAAAAATATTTGTTTTTGCTGGTATCGGCAACTGGACCCTCTTTTACAACTTCCAGTTGTATAAAAATGACAAGGGACGGTTTTCTCTTCACCCCAGTAACTATGTGGATTGCAACAGACTAACACCTGAACTTCGGTGTCTTTAAAGATCTCCTCCACCATACTTCGGATAACCCTCCAATCTAATTGGCGGCACTCCGGAACTTTGGTATGGCTAACTTTTGCATGTTAAACTCTAGTACCTGCTCTCTCAATTGAATTAAGGCTTCCCATATATCTCGGTAGGTAGGTTGGTCACGGGCAGTGTCTTTTGTTACCAGGTAGAAAAGGTGACGTGATGCATCTTGAAGTTTCAAGGCTTTCCCGGGAGCTGGCACTTGGCATTGAAGTTCTGCAACTTGACCGAACTTCCTTCGAAAGACGGATGCCAACCCTGGTGCGCCTTTGATACTGGCCGGAATGGGAAGGGCCAGTGAGTAGTCATCGGGAAGCGCAAGTAGATCTTGCTTTACCGTTACTTCCATAGGCACCCATGAATTCCTCAAATGTAAGGTCAGTCACATCTTGGACTTGGTTTACTTCCACTTCTTCATCTATGTCGTGGTCACCTTCAAAAGACGTCAGTCTGTTATGGTGTACTATCATCGACTTTCCACTCGGAATCTTGCTTATTCGGTACATGACATCGTTGATCTTCTCCATAATGAGGTATCGACCTTCCCAAAACTGCTGCAACTTGGAAGAACAACCTTTTCGCTTCTCAGGATTATAGAGCCAGACTTTTTCGTTCTTCTTAAAGCACCCCTTTTCGGCTTGCGTATCATACCGTTTCTTCATTCGGTCGCTACCGATCTGAAGATGGGAACGGACCAACTGGTGTACATCGTCCATTCTTCTTTGTAATTCGATCACATAATCTTCACCTGCTACATCTTCTCCAGGTTGACACCCAAACACTAGATCACAAGGTAGTCGCATCTCACGTCCGCGTAGGATTCTGGCTGGTGTCTGGCCTGTTGATTCGTTAACAGCAGATCTGTAGGCCATTGGGAAGAACGGAAGATATTGGTCCCAGTCTCGCAGATGATCGAACACTTTCTTTGTCAAATACTTGCCAACTTGCCAAGAATGGGCACATTTTCTTTCAAATAATTCAAGTAAGAGTTCTTCATTTTTTGTGAAAGACAAAAGGCTGACTACTGCTGTAAATATGTTTAACTCCTTGAACTTTCCTACAAAACCATCACCAACAAGATTAACTTTATGAGCCCAACACTGGTAATGTAATATATGTGGCTCTATTAGAATTTTTAATAGGTTAAAGCAAGCAGATCTGTATCTTACTGAATCTGATACCAGGCCTTTAACTTAAGGTGAATTAGGTGAATAATCAATTCCAAAGTCTTTTAATGTATCTATAATTGCATGTGAATACGTTGATGCATTAGCAGTATTAAGGAGGTTAAAACTTGCTAAAAAACATTCTTGATGTAGTACAGAATCTATAGTTCTGAAAAGAATAGCAAAAACATATCTTCCTTGTCAATCCGAGGTTTAGTCTGCTACTATTACAATGGGCTTGTTTCAGCTGTATCCTCCACAAAAGTATCATTTTCTTCTTTTGTTCGTTTCTGTCTCTTAAAGGCACTAGCAATTGACATTTGCTGCTTAGTTCCTGAAGTAGATCCTATAGATTTTTTCCCACATGTGAAGTCGACTTCACATGTTTCTGCAGTGTGTCCTTTTTATCACCTTCCAAACGAGTATTACAATATTTACACATCACAATATTTGTGTCACACAGATATAGGCCATCTGTTGCAAATTCTTTGACTCGATCACTTAAATTGTTTTAGGGCGTCCCATTTTAGGGGACTTTAAGTAATTTCATTTTACTATGAAAACTTTTTTTATAGACTATGTTCTTACTCAGTAAAAATTGACGGAATGAGCACTGATTGTCCTGGTTGACTAATTTATATGTTTAGAAAATAAGAATTAGCCGACTTTTATCCCTACTTAGATTTTTACTAATACAAAAGACCGAAATGCAGATAATAGTTGGCTTGATTATACTTCTCAAAGAATCAACATTGAAAAATATCAATTATTTATCTTATCTTTATCTATTTAATGATGAACAATGAAAGATCCTTTTGTTTCGACACGTATTACAACAATAAACAATCCTTTCAAAAATTACAATAGAAAACTTTCCGTAAAATCTTTCCATACCTTCTTAACTACCCTTATTTAGGGGTGAGTTGAGCACCTGCAGATATTTCGCGGAAATAAACAAAAACTCCACATTTCGCATTTATCGCATGTATGTTCAAAATTTCGCCGAAATTCGCATCTATTTCGTAAAAACGAAAATTCCGTACCCCTATTTATAACCTATTTGTTGTAAAAACAACTTATTTAATTATTGTAATCGTATTTTGTTATTTTATCAACTTAAGCGCTCAGATCCTCACCTCTCGTGTTAATGTGTTTGCCACCCTCTCTTTCATAATCTCTCTTCACCCCGCCTTAAAGGACTTAGCTTAGGACAAGAAAAGTGCGAAGTGAAGACAGGGTGTGTTGTCGATCTCCAAAAGTGCGTGATGCGTAAGTGAAAGACGCCTAGTTAACCCGGTGTTTTGTTTTAAACCGTAAACCGTTTGGTTTCTCTCTGGAACTCTATTTATCTTTGTTACTGCCTCTTAGCACTGTAAAGTTAATGATATTTGTACAACTCTTTTTAGTCTAATCAGAATTGCGATA